ATTAATAAATAATGGGAATAAATTATGGGAGGAAAAATTATTTGATTTGAAACTGTTTGTAATTGAACCAGTTTTCCTACCTGTATAACAGAATTGTGCTGACGGTTAGCTTTTCTAGCTGAATCAAGATGTTTCTGCAAACCACTTTGCTCCTCAGTGATGCGCTGAAGTTCGGCTGCATCAGTTTCATGTAGTTCATTTCCATGCTTCATAGCCACTCTCTTTTTGCTGATCAGAGACTGCAAAGAACAGAAAAAATAAAATGGGCAATGTGATGGGTTTATGGGGTAATATTAATGTACAATTTCGCTGATATTTACCTTTCTAGCTTTCCTCAATTTATGAACTTCTGTTTCATAATATTTTAGCTGATCAGCTAGATATTGGTTCTCATGGTTAAGCCAATGATCATATGCTAAGTGAGCTTGTTTGTCAGCTTCTGATGCTATATTTTCTGGAGGCGAGGGAGGCTGCACAAGTCGAGGTGCACTGAAGAGTGGAACTCGGGCTACAAGAACACAACAGATGTGTAAGTTTACAATTGAGGTAAAACAAGATAATGCAGAAAATGAAGGTAATATTCACTCACATTCTTGAGGAGCCATAGGCTGTGTTGGTGGACGCACAATTTGTGGTCTTTGTACCCATTGTTGTACGGGTTGCTGTAAACCAATCTGGCCGGACGCCATGCCTCCGACATTAACAGGTCCTAATGAGCCAACAACACCAGGTTGGACAACAGATGGGTTGCCAGGTGTACCAGCCACAGGACCAGACATAGGGCCAACTGGTCGGGGAGGAAATGGTGGCCTCAACTGAGGTTGCATCATAACTTGACCAGGCAGAGATTGAGCAACTGAAAAGAAAAGGATTTTTAAACAACAGGGAAAAAAGGTATTAACAATTAAAATGCTACTAATAGCAAGAATATTTACTTTTTTTTTTCTTTCTTTATAAAATAATTGCATACCTGGCATTTGTGGTTTAGGTTGATTAGAAGTTTGTCCACTAGGAGAATTGAGTACAAGATGTTCTAACTCCAGGTCGCTAATCATGTTGTTTCCCATAGGTGAGGTAAGGCCTTGGGCTGTAGCAACATCCACTTGAGACACTTGTTGCTGCTGCTGTTGCTTTTCTTGCTCCCGCTTTTCTTGTTCCAGGAGCTCCTCCAGCAAAAGTGGTTGATCCTAAACAAATAAGAAAGAGTTAGTATGGATTCTCCTGTATTAATTACGTATTAAGAGAGAGATAACACGTTCAATGAAAGATAATTTTTATTGTTTTGATAAATTCGTGAGGTTTTGACCATACAGCTCCAAAGCGAATTAACGCGGGAGCTCACAGCATTCACCCTTCAAAGTGGTCGAAAAGGGATGAAAGGGGAAGAGGGAACATTCTCCATGAGGACTCTTAAATTAATGCTCCCAAACATCACAGGGAATAAAACAAAGAGTTGACAATACTATTTACCATGAAATGAATATAGCATGCAATACCACCGAAGCATGCAAATATAAACATGACTAACTACAGCCACAAAAATTAATGAAAAAATAAGCATTAGAATGATGTAGGTACTTTAGAAACACATTATTATACTGAAAATGAAAATCATAATAAAGCAAAGAAATGGAAATCAACTTTCCAAAAATGAAGTTTACTTTTCGTTTGACTGTGATGAGTGTGATGGGGAAGTGCCTTATTTGCTTACACCCTGAAAATAGCCTCTTAACTGCTCTCATTAAAAATTGACATGTGACGATTGCATATTCTCTCTATAACTATTTCTTCAAAGTACCAAAATGATTGGTCACATGCAACTGTGCAGCGTGATTCTCTTCAAAATAGACTTCAATAGTCTACCCTGGCTCACACACAGCTGAGCAGAGCTCTCACCTGTAGTAAAAGGGGTCTGCATGCGTTGCGCTGCATGTGATCAGGACCAGGGAGGCCTAAAGGTGATTCAGCCGGCGGCCCAACCGGCGGTCCCATCGAAGGCGTATGGGACATCATGGGACGCATTTGGGGCCCCATTTGGGGTAGAGCGCCCAGACCAGCGGGACCAGAGTGGTCCATTTGGGGCCCCATGCACACCACCCCAGCCATAGGAGCCATCTATGCCACATGCCGTTAGATGTTTGAGTTAGTAAATGCCAAGTCCCAACACCTGATTCTTAGAGCTAAGATTCATGCATGATTTGAATATTTAGATTTCTTATTGAAAAGGGGGCAGGGGGGTGAAAATACATAATTTGGTAATAAGTGACAGTCAAAATAATATGCAATTGAGTTAGGGATCAATAAATCAATGACTGTTATCACCTGCTAAAAGCTTGACTTCTCAAACAACAACTTGCAATTTTATATTAAAATTTAGTCTTAGATAGCAATTTTCACATGACTTTTTATTCAACTTGCTGACTAACTATGTTCATATTATGGGTAAACAGTGATTGGGGGCACATGAGAAGAACAGACAGAACACCTTGCAAGGCTCCCCTCTGTAAAACCAAAGCTTTCAGACCACCAAGGGTATAAGTCCCCCCCCCCCCAAAAAAAAAAACAAAAAAAAACATGTTTAGAAAGAGGCCCCTAAGAAACTCTTGGCAAATTCACTCAAGTTAATAATCATATTTGACATAGCTTTTTTCTTCTCCCCCCCCCCCCTTGAAATTTCATTGAAAAAGGTGCATCTGAAAGCACCAAGAATTATTGAGTGATGCACGTAAAAATGATAAAATAAATTCTGCTTGCAGTTTCAAATTAACACAATACAGCTCACATAAATCAGCCCACACACTAATACTCTACTAGACCTACGGCACAACCTGTATACCACTAACACTCCAAACAGGATTAAAGGAAAAATAGTAAGGGGAAAAAAATGCTTCCCAAACAGCCAAAGCTCTGTCACAGCCAATCAATGCATGTGTAACACATCATAGTTGCAGATGATGCAAATTTTGTAACCCTTCAATTGATATAGCTACTGGGTGACGTATAAATTAGGCAGGACAATTTCTCTCACCCATCAACTCCTGACAATACATAGTACTCAAAAGACAAGCCCGAAAAGCCTGAATGCAATGAGTTTTGAACAGTCCTTTTCTTGGAATAGCTATATTTTTCAAATCACTTACATGCTGCATGGAGACAGGGTAAGGTGGCGGTGGTCCTGGGTAGGGCGGCGGCGGAGGCGGGGGTGGTGGCGGTGGTGGCAGTCCGGGACCTGGGCCAACCCGTGTCACGGTGCCGACCGGAGCTCCAGGCTGTGAAACGGCAGTATGCTGCAGAAGCTGTCCATTCTGACCAACCACCACTCGTCGCTGGAGCGTTTGAAGTCGCTGCTGAGGAACTGCAAAACGAAGTTGCATGGGTTACTCCACAAGTCAGACATGTTTTTCAAGCCAAACTAAATATTCTAAGAATATCTGAAATGAAAAAATTGCATTAACACTTACCCCCGGGCATTTGAACTCTCTGCAAGAGAGGAGGCTGGCCTTGGAATGAGTTTTGATAAGCAATAGCTACATTGCCATCAACAACTCGCTGTTCTCCATTGGCATCCACAACTACTCGTGTTGGCACTTGACCCTGTTGAGGTAAAGGTGTAATGCCCGCACTCGGTATTCCTCCACCAAGTGATGTGACCACATTGGTACTAACAACAGCACCAGTCTGAGAGGTATTCACAGCCGTTCCATTCACCTCCGCCTGCAATAAAAATTTAATTAATCGTCAAACCAGATTTTAAAAAAAATAAAAAAAAATTCTGATTTAAAAACACATGCAAAAGAAATTTGCACAGACCTGAGGCTGCATTTGTGTGGGGCCACTTGTTGAGCAATTTGGTTGTGATTGCACAGAGGGTGCATTATCAGCAGAATGCTCTGTAGCACTGCTTTCACCACTTTCAGTGGTGTCACTCTTCACTTGCTGTGTAGAGTCCTTCTTCACCTCTGGCTCCTCTAAATCCAAATTTTCATCGAGAATGTTTGTCTTTTCACCTATGTCCCCCAGTTCCGGATCAGCATATTCCAGAATATTGAAATCTGCACCCATCTCAGCTAAAAAAAAAAGTGAGGAATCAAATCAATCATTTAACCAATAAATAATGGTGTAAAAGCAAATAGAATAATTAGACAGTCCCCAAGACTCTCTTTAAGTTACAAATACGCACCTAGAAGCTCATCATCATCCTCAACAAGACCACCTAGAATGTCAGTGACATTGTCCACCTCAGCCATTGTACCACCTTCTTGTTCCAGCTTTTCAAGCTCAGCAGTCACACTGTCAGGTATCTCTTGGGAGTCTGACATGGAATGCACTGTAGCTTGAGGAGATGGCGCAGGGGCAGGGGCAGAGGCTGGTTGTGGTGCTGCAGGAGCAGAGACTGGCACTGGTGCAGTGGTAGGCCCTTGAGAAGAGACGCTCTGCACCTGCTGAGATGAGAATTGAACGATGCTGGTTTGCATTTGCTGTGATGTGATAGGTTGACCAACTGCTATTAATTGTCCCTGTCCCTGAGCCTGATTTTGAGCCTGAGCTTGTGTTCTTTGATGAATGATGAGGCGTGCTCGTGGATCCAAGCTCTGAAAATGCAATGAACTTCTTATAAAGCAACTCAAATAGCATAATTATGCCCCCAGATAAAAAAAACAAAAAAACAACACAAAGCAAGAAGTACTAAGCAGCTTGAATGTAAAGCCCAATGCAGCGCCAGTATGAGAATGTGACAAGTTTAAAAGAAAACAAATGATCCACTAAAGAGCAGTCAACTTGCTACGCAAAGTTACCACAAAAGACTTACCGCGATTCGAGAATCACCCGACTGAAGAGGGACATGAATGTTGTCAGAACTTCGAATAACAACACTGTTGAGAGGAAATCGCAGTCTAGATGGAGGCAATGGCTGCCGAAACTCCGTGCTTTGACCCTGTAGCAAATTTTGTTGGGGCATTGCTTGAGCTTGCTGTGTCTGCTGAGGTTCCAAGCCAGGCATTTGTGCTTGAGACATTACCATTGATTGAGTAGATTGCTGGACATTGGTCATTTGCAACTGAGGCTGTGATGTTGTTTCTGTTTCTGCAGGAGCTGGTTGATCTGAAGAGAGACAGAGAGAGAGAGAAAAAATATTGTTAACATTTCAAACCGAACTTATGCCACAATGCTCTGTAAACAATGTCTTATGAGGACCTCTCAAGCACGACAGCTTTGCATCGATGGATAACCCACCTGTTCTCATGGTTGGGTCCCAAATCCGCTGCTGACCTTCCCCACCAGGTTCCAACTTCCTAAACTGGCTCCTTTGAAGAAGATCTCGGAGCTGCTGGTTGCCCTCTTGACCTGGCATCTGAGTAGGGGTGCCCGGAGCACCAAGGGGCGTGCCGGGTGTCGACGGCTGCGCTGGCGTGGGCGGCGGGGTGGCGAACACCCCCTGCGGGTCACCCTGCGGCTGCGGCCGGGGTGTGCCCGGGGGCTGCATGTAGGGGTCGCTCTGCCCAGGCCCGGGGCCGGGACCAGGGCCGGGCCGCGGACTCTGGGGCACTGAGTACGGGTCCACAGCAGCGTTTGGAGAGGGCAGAGTGGGTGGTCTGGGGGTGTACTGAGGTCCGGGCCGCGGGCTCGGGGGCACAGCGTACGGGTCCACTCCAGCGTTCGGTGACGGTAGAGTGGGTGGCCGGGGGGCGTACTGCGGCCCTGGTCCAGGCCGCGGTGTGCCTGGGGGCTGCATGTAGGGGTCTACCTGGACTGGGCCTGTTGGACCCACTGACGACGCACCGACTGGAGGCCCCACCGAAGGGCCAACTGACGGACCGACTGGGGGACCCACTGCAGGGCCTACAGGGGGACCCACAGCAGGGCCCACACCTCTCGGTCCATATTGCACACCTCTCGGTGGAGCGTTTGCCACGTTGACCACCGTGTTGAAAGGCTGGTGAACAGCACAAGAAAGGGTAAACATTCCTTTTGTTCATTGACCTACTACCTTCTTCCAGTCTCGGAGAAATTTACAAACCTTGCCCGATGCTACCTGCATTGGTTGGGGTAGGCCACTTGAATTAACACCACTTTGATCCACAGGATATTGGGTAACACTTCCATCTGGGTTAACGTGCCTCGCTATTTTCAGAGCTGCAATTTAAAAATCAACAATGACTTTCTCACAAAAAAACATAATTTGATTTGTATCTAGTGTTATTTAGAGTGACAATACCTTGGCTCTGTTGGTTTTGTAGGAGATGTTGTTGCTGCTGCTGTTGTTGCCGAAGAGCTTGGAGTTGCTTCCATTGCCGCTCTTGTTCCGCTTCACGGCTATTTTTCTGCTGGTGTATCTTATCAGTATCCTGTATCAAAACACCACACATGTAAAACATACATAAAATAGGGAACTACTTTATTAAAATTGGGAGGAATGATAAGGTAGGATCATTGAAAGAAAATAAACAAGAACTGAAAGAGCTCATAAACTCTCCCAAGTTACGAAATAACTGTTTTGATAGCAAAAATTTATCAATAAGAAAAGTATTAAAAAAAATTTTTTTAAGGATTTGAGTTTGAAATTCGTCAACTGTGGTTAATGAAAGGGACAAAATTGGTGTTAAGATCACCAAAAATAAGAAAAGGTTTTAAAACATGCAAAAAGTGAATTAAACCTCAACAGGCATATCAATGCAGAAACATTCAAAACTTTTAACAACAAAACAATAGTGTGCAGGCAAATTAGAACAGTAAATATCCAGGAAAAATAAAAAGGAATTAACAGGCCTTAAATGGATCAAATATTCCAATATGGTATACATGAGAGAGAGACCAAAGCCCAAAACCTTGATAGAAGAAATTAACAAAAGTTTAGAAAGACATTCAGCTGGTGAATAAGAAAACCAAAGAGAAAGTGCTGTAATGAAATCCAGTAGTTTCAGATAACATAGGTAAATTCAGACACTATGTAACAGTGGTTGTGAAGTTTGGAACTTTGTTCAAGAGGGGGGAAAATAGCAGTGAAACAGTTGATATAAGAAGCATTATCAGCAAGACTAACCCAAACTATACACAAGGCTACAGCAACTCTACACATAACCTCCACCAAATCTAGCAAAGAAACACACAAACACCACAACGGAGAAAAGAAACCACACAGAAAAAGCTAATAATGCTAATTAAATATAGGTGAGGCACAATTAAAAAAGGGAGGTAGGATGAGGATAAGGGGGAGAAGGGAGGGGTATCTTGGGGAAGTTAAGCATTTCCCAGTCACAAACTTAATTCAACAGAACAGAAGTTCATATCACGATATGCTCATAAAAACATTCTATTAAGACTGGACAAAATGAATTTCAGTGGTGGACATCCAATTTAGGGACCTATTCACTCAAAAATGTAATAAATAGAAAAGGATGCAACCATGCAAACTAAGTATAGTACATAAACCTTTAAATTGAATGAATTTAGGGTGTGTCACCATGAAAACCATGACACAATACGGTTTAGCAGAATACCCTTAACCAGTAGAAATATTATCTATGAAAAATCACTCTAAACACACCCAGAATCTTGTGAGTTCATTTTAAAACAATCTAAAGCTGCCTCTATTTGCAATTTTCTATAAGGTAACTAATTTTCTACAATAATTATTCAGAAATATCTACCAGGCACACTGAACATTGACTATACCACATTATTCATGCTGACTTGAGATAAAAACATAACTCATTTTCATTTATTTTTTATTTTTTTAGCTTTCCCCTGAATTTTTCATAATAATGAGGGAAACTTAGTGGGTTTCCCTCCCCCCAATAGAAGACAAGAAAAATTGAAAAATTAGCTTTGCTCAAACAATTAAAAGTTTAAAACTATTTGTTAAAATTTAATTTTGTGGAAAGTCAGTGCCCAGTGTTCTCAAGCATAAAAACTGCTCAAGACAAGGTCAAAAAGAATATAGACATTTTCAGCAGCTCACGGAAACAAACAAAAAATAGAAACGCCCGCAAAACAAAATTACAACAAATGCTTTGAATGACTGTGACAGGGCTCACCGATGCCAGTGAGGTGGTCGGCACGGGCTCGAGGGATGGGAGGGTGCGCATGATCTCGGAAGGGGTGAGGACGCGAATCTGCTGGTCAACGCTTGGGATGGGTGCTGCGTTAGTGGTTAGTATGCCCAAGATAGAAGCGGTCTGGATAGTCGCTCTAGGCCCGCTCTCCCCCATATTAGGAGCAGCCACCACTACTGCATTAGAAGCCCGAGCGAGAGAAGAGGAAGAGATGATGTGTTGCACGGGAAAGTACTGGTGCAGCGTATGCGTGGAGCCCGACTGCTGGCTCAACGTTTGAATGGGGAGGAACTTCAGGTTCACGTTCTCAATGGTCGGCGTTCGTCTGACGATAGTGGGAACGGGCTGCGCCCCGTCAGTCGCCGGAGAGTGGTGGATAGTATGGTGGTGGTGAGGTGGAGGGATAGCGGGAGGGGGGTTGACGCTGGGGGGCCTAGGTGCCGGAGCCGGGGCTGCTGCGGCTGCTGCAGCAGCCGTCACCACTGGTAAGGGGCCAGACGCCATCGGCGACGAGGTGGTGATGGTGGGCACCATCGTGGGCACCATCGCGCTCGACGCCGGGGAGGGGAGAATTACAGACGAGACCGAAACTGCGACGGCCTGGTTAGTGGAGGCCATGGTGGCTAAAAGGGGCGAGGACATGACAGTCGAACTGGGCACGTTTACTAAGGCACTCGGGGTTGCAGCAGGTTGTGAAGGAAGAGGTGCTGGTGCGGGGGCAGGGCTAGGGGTGAGAGGGACAGGAGCAGGGGTGGAAGGGGTCGGTGGCTGCGGCGGTGGGGGTGTAGGCGTGGCTGGGGTGGCGGGAGGGGTGGGTGAAGGGGGTGCTTGTTCCACACCGGATGCTGTTAGTAGGTCTTCCTCATCAGGCCCTGCCAGAAGGCCTGCCTCCCCAGAACACACCTCAGGCTGCGAGGTCGAGGTTGAGGGCGAGCTGACTGATGAGGCTGATGCCACAGAGGACACAGATGCAGGGACTGATGGCTTCAGGACACACTGCGGCGAGGCTGCAGGCGTTGTTGGGCCTGGGCCCTGGGCAAGGCCACCCAGGGCACCCACCGACTGTGTTGACACCAAAGGAATAGGATTCTTGTTGATTGAAGCAGCAGGAGCACAAATCTGCAGTGTTTATGTGTCACCAGACATAACACACGCACACACACACATACACGTACAAACATATAAATCAATTTGTAAAGGCAATCCATCACAAAGGCATTGAGTGATATCCACATGAGCTAAGGGAATTAAGGTTGTTAATAATGGTAAGAGTTTGTTAAAACACTCAAGGAGAGGAAAAATTTTGCAGGTGAGAATTGACAAAAGCAGGGTGGGGAAAACACACTCAAATTAAGGCAGTTTTCGGACGATAAAAAAAAACACACTGATAATGACTCCGCAACCAATAGCACACGCAGAATATGCAAAAAGTCATACCACATTATGTGTTTAAAAATTTAAAACCCTAACAGAGCGAAGTGCAAAGTTTTCTCTATAATGATTACTGCCAGAGTAAAATTAGAAAGAGACTTCATCTGAACTATGTGAGCAAGAGGTAAATTGCCTTTAAATATTGGTTAAGAATCAATTTTGAAAACCATTTGCATGGCATAACGCAAATAAATCTATCAAAACTGACCTGGTGTCCTTTCTTTAACTTCTGGTTTGTTCTGTTATCTCTAGCCTGCTGTAGGTATGGTGCTTTCTGTTCAGCTGGAAGAACTCTCCACTTCTTCACGATCATCTTGCATCTATCTGACCAAGCTGTAAATATAAAAGTAATGTTAATCCACAAGCCTAGAATTAAAAATAAACTCTTTGTATTAAATATCAACTATTGAGTACATACCCGGGTAATCCTTCTTCCACTCTGGATGGTTGATATTTGCATACAGCACAGCAGAAATAGTAGCACCTTTACCAAGGGCTTCATCAACTTCCATGCGCTCAGTATTGTTGCGAGCATTTTTGGCTTGACCAGTGGCAGGCTGAGAATTATCATTTGCCATACCTCCCATCGAGTTACCATCCACGTCTCCGCTCTGAGATGATATCCAAGGAGAATGTGGTGGTTCTGAAAAGGCAGGGCTGAACTGTGGGCTACTGCAAATCACATTAGAGAAGAACAAGTTATTCATCAGAAATGAGTTGTGTAAAAAAAACATTGACATTCACAAATAAGACTGAAAATTAAAACACAGTAACTTACTTGCTATACTCTGACTGATAAGGTGAAGGCGGAGGAAAACTCATGGGTGAGCTTATGTTTGACTGAACAGCTTGAGTACGGGCCAATGTCAGTTGTGGAGGGACAACTAGAAGAAGAAAAACAAAATTAGAAACAAATAACAATCAAAATATTCTTGGATAGAAATTGAAAAGTAAGGAGCGTTGTATGTACCTGGATGTTGAGATGGAGTTGGTGATGCTGGGACATTGTTGTGAGTAGAAAGAACAGGTCCAGGAACAGGATTCATAGGGTAAACATTGCATTCCTGCGATTCTTGGGATTCATCAGTAAGAACTCCTTTGAAAATTTCCTCAACATCTCTGCTGTCCATATTGGGCAAGCCTAAAACAAGAAACAAGTTACCAACATTGAACAAACAAACAATAAAAAACAAAAAAAACTCAGATACAAATGTCTTTCACTCTGACTTTACCTGTATCGGTCTGGATGCAGTCTAAATTGAAATTAGGGCTGAGTATGTCTGTAAGCTCATCTTTATGTCCCTGACCAGATACATCGCCAAGATCTGTATCAGCAGCAATATCTTCCAAATTTTCCTCAGCCTTCATATCTGATTCTTCATTCATTATCGTGTTGACTAGATCAGCATCTAGAAAATCATGGGGTACATTTGGAATGTCCTTCAGCACTTCAGCATCATAAGAATCATCCTCCTCTTTGATAGGAGATTTCATAGCCAATGCTGATTCAGCTTCTTCCTTGATCCGCTCAGCCTTTTCTGCTTCTTTTTTCGCTTTTAATTCTTCAATTGCTTTTAACTCATCTTGTGACAATGTGATCGTTTTATCAGGAGTAACCTTCATTCGATCAGATTCTTCAGCTTCACTTTCACTGCTGCTGCTTGCCTGTTCTTTACTAGTTTCTAACAGTTCTTTACCAAAGAAGGCCTCCTGAAGATATGATGGATAATTTTCTACCAATTTGGATTTTAGCTTCCTGCGTAAGGGTTTACGTTTAGGCTTGTCATCACATAAAACAGGAACCACACTATCATCTAGTCGAGTAAATAATGTATTGCATGTTTCTAGAGGGTCATCAGTCTCTTCACGGTACCTGTTGTTACGTAACCTAGCATTAAAGCCACCAATTCCAAGATTTTTCAGATTTCGAACTCTTATTCTCCGTAGGACTAGATTGCCAGTTTTTGAAGTATGGATGGTAAAACCTTCTGGTGGTTCAGGTGGTGAACCATCTTCTTTGGGTGCTACCACCATTCCATCTCTATAAAATTCTTCATCAGGATCATCACCATCACCTTGGTCTTCACAAAAATGAAACAAAAGATTAACAGAATTCAAAGCAACACTAACGAAAAAAGAAAAACATTAACTTTAAAAATATCTTACTTCCATTAGGATCCTGATCTAAACCATCAGAATCAGTCCGGGATGGTAAAACAACAGGTTCCATTTGAGCAAGCATTTTGCGGTTGAAGCGCTTTTTCTTTGGATCATTTATTTGACGCTTTTCTTTTTCAATTTCTAATGACTTGATGAGAATGAGCCCAGACTCAGATAAGATTACTCCATCCTTTTGAAACTCCTGCTTTCTCTTGTGAGTAAAGTCTGATGAGAAAGACACAATATATGAATTGCATAAAGGGCACAAGAAACAGTGTAGTTATAACTTAAGGATGGCCTACAGACCCTGCCATATTTTGAAGTTAAACTGTACTGCATGCAGGTTTGCGCTCGGGTTAGCCTATTGTCAAGGATCATGGCGCATTGTGGTACCATAGGCAATCCGCTGACATATCCTCATGCGATACAGTCTAACAACAAATCGTTCCAGAGTCCATGAACCCCCATGAATAAGTAAAATTGAAAACTAACCAGGACTCCTAGGTGGAGACGGCATCCTAACTGGTGCAGGAAGAGGAAGAATTTTAGGTTTTGGCTTCATGAGAATTGCAGGCTGAACAAGGTGAGGTGGAGGAACATTAAGAGGCCGGCACAAGACACATTTGTAACCCTCCTCTGCACACTTCTCAGCTTCAGCTTCAGTGCGAATGCGATCACACATGCAATGCAACCACCGCTCACAATTAATACACTTGATGATTAATTCTCCTTCCCCATAACTGTCTTGACAAACAGGGCAAGATGTTCTTGATGCACAAGGACCACATTCAGTAAATCCTTTTAGCCAGTGGCAATTAGGTCCAGGATCATTAGCCCCACAAGTATGGCATTGTACACACCTACACAAACAAACCAAGGAAAAACTATAGCATACAAATACATGAATTGAATTTATGGATAAGTCAAGAAAACATACCACTTGCACTTCCAATTCCCATGTGGAACGTAATCTAGTGGCGGATCCATGCAATAGATGTGATATGAAATATCACAGTCATCACATAATATAAGCCTTGACTCATCATGCCTCTGGCCACAACCTTCACAAACAGTGCAGTCGAGACAACGCCAACCTTTTTGAAGAATGATTTTGGTGATCTGTAAGATAAGTTTGTAAGTACTCATGAACCAAGAGGTAATATTACATTCGTCACGGAGATGAAAAGCCCCCTTTACCTTCACATTGGTACAGTATGGATGATAACATTGGCCACATTGTGCACATGCAATCAAACAGCCTTCTTGGTCCTGACCCAAAGCTCCACACATCACACACACATCTTGATAGAGAACAAATTTGTCCTTGGCAGATACTAAAACAAGGCGGTTTTCATCTTCATGGTCATCATCCTTTTTACTTTGAGTGGCATCAACTTGTGGCCGCTAAAGAATATTAAAGAAAAATATGGCAAAAAAAACATTAGATTAATTGAGACTTAACAAAACTTAATTGAATAAAAGTAGTTTAACATTCGCCCATAAAAAACATACTTGTAATCCAAGACCAGGCACACCAAAAACTCCTCTCATCTTGGACTTGGGTCCACGCTTACGGCCGAATTCGGCCATTTTTTGATGCTTTTTCTGGTAGGGACCAGCCATAGCACCCTTACGTCCAGACATTCCAGCATTTTTAGCACCGTAAGACTGAAGACTCAATATTAAACTATTTGATAGCCCTAATTTCTTTTTAGCAATTTTACCAGCACAGAAAGGTTTCCCTTTCCCCAAACCAATACCACGCATTCCATCCTCTGAATCTAGTAACATTGCCTGCAGAAGAGTTCAATACTTAGTGTAAATTCAATATAGATAAAAATTTCTTCATACATAATCGTTAAAAAACAAACCTTCTCTGATGAAAAAGAGTCCATATCACCGAAGAAGTCATCAGAAAGAGATTCCTGAGAAGCACTGAGACTTGAATCTCCATCCTCCATACTACTTTTCCTCTTTAATTTGCTAGTCAACTGTCTACAAATGGGGCACACATAGTCATATGAGGCTTCTGCTCTCTTACGCTGTTGGTACGTTGGATAGTCTGCTTCTGCATCACAAGAACCATGAACAGCTTTTCGACAAATGGTGCATTGAACCATTTCTCGGACCGCTGCTGCTCTGTAGGCTCTTCTGCAAATTGGACAGGAGTAGCCCTTGTTTCTTTGTTGATAACAAGAATCACAAACTGTGTAGTGGGCATGCCAACGAGAGGAGTGTCCAGAACCAGGTGTTCTAGAGCCACAATCAGTACACACTCGGCAAAACTGAAAAGCAAATCAATCATCAGAAAAGAAACAATTTATAGCATGGATAGGAAAACTTAAAGAGAGTGGAAACTAGATGCACTTGGCCTACTGCCAGCTCTGGTACAGTACAGTACATCAATTTCTCCATTTGCTTCCTCAGAGCAGGTAATTTGATAAATTTTTAAGAAATCTGTACACCAGTTTTGAAGACAAAAAAGTTTTTTTTTTGTTTTTTTTTTCAAAAAAAGATTTTTTAAATTACCTTGCATTTCCATCCTAATTTAGGAATAGATGTAACCACAGGACGCTGACAAGTTGGGTGGTAAGCCTTATCACATTTTTCACAAACCATTATCTTTGTATGATCCATTTCTTTTAATCTGCACACCTGGCAGCAACGACAATCTGCACATTGCCAGCCAGCCCGTACCTCAGGGAGAAGGGCCATACCCACACAAGCACCATGGAAGTGACTTCCACATGCACTACACATTGTGAGATTAGACACATCTCCTAGTGAATTACATTTTTTGCAAGTCACATCACCAACACCTACAGAAAGTGCAGGGATATATAAGATATGTTTTCTAAGAGACATAATGAATAGATTAGACTTGATTAGATAAGACAAAAAATGTCAACCCTTACCAAGAAGTGATACTTGATCAAGATGAAGGTTACAGATTAATGTATGTGTTTTATTGCACTGAAATCCACCTGATGCAGCAGCACATGGCAAGTGAAAGTGCTTGGGACACCCAGCAAACTGGCAAGCAACACTTGCTCCAAATCTACCACAATTACTGTACATGCACCGCCGATTCACACCTTCTACGACTGCTGAAGCTACACCCTCCAGAGCTCCTTCAGCTGAGCGAGAAACACCAGCTGACCAAACTGCACACCCATAATGTACATAGTAGTTTCCTATTTTATAAAAAAGAGAAATAAAAATAGCTTGAGAAATTTAAACTCAAGTGGTATACACAACAGACCAATTAAGGAAAACTGTTTTATTCATCGAGCTTACTTTCAAATACTGATCATACCTGATTCAAATAAAGTAGTTTGGTCTATTTCATCTGCATACCCAACAATACTAAGTTCATCTAAAACTTCATTTGCATTTTGCAAACTATTTCTCTTTGACATGTACTTGCGCCGGCTTTGAGGGATAAGCATACGAGGGCTTTTATCACCAGGGTTTGTGACAGGGCTCTCTTTTTCTGTGTCACCAGCACTGCCAATGGATTCTTGAGAAGGACTCATCATCCCATCTCTAGTTGGAGTTGAGGCACATGACTTTCTGGGATCAAAACCCTCAGGACAAACAAGCCTGAGCATTTCACCTTGACCAAGCTGAGATTTTTCTGGTAGATTGCACAGAGCACATACCTTTCCAGGCCTGAAATGAATTACTCATTTTAGACTATATTACACATCTTAATGCCATATGATGAATAGAGTATTTTGATATTTGAACATAAGTAATTTGCATAATTGCAATATACAAAGACTACTTGGTGAACTTATGTAAAATATTGAACTTATACCATTTTTCTGGAAAGTAGGGTGGTTCCTCCGGGGCAGGCATGGTTGGTTTCTCAACAGAGCACGAGATCATTGCCAATTCTGAGGCAGAAGCATTTGGTGTAGTAGGAGTTGTAGCCACAATAGCCAGAGAACCAGGAGAACTCATGCCAGATGGTGAATCTCGCAAAGGGCTTGGTGTTGGGCTTTTGATAAGGATGCAATCATCTCTAAGGGGGCTATTTTTTGGAGATTTATGCAATTTCCCCAATTCATGAGAGAATTGACCTCTGTTATACAAAGTAAGTGGGGGGAACATTAAGATAATAGATACAAAATGATAAGCCTCTTCAAGTTAATTGAACAAAAATACCAACCCTCTCCATCTTTTTAATTTCAAGCCAAGTGGCTGTTTTGGGGGTGTTGCATAACCCGGATCGCCTTTTCTTGGGCGTCCTCTTCCTCTCCTGATATTAAGAGGTTTACCTTGACCACCTATAAGAATTGAATTGAAATCAGCACATTTCATGCAATTTTTCAACAAACCGGTGAAGAAATGAGGAGTTAACAAACCTTTTGGAATATGCCCTCTTCCACCAAGTGTCAACACAATCGGGCTCTGGGGGGTAGAGGTAGAAGGAGATGAAGACACATTTGTTTCCATTTCCTCCTCCTCGTCCTCCTCCTCTTCACCCTCTTCCTCCTCTTCATCTTCAGCAGAGTCCTCATCAAGGTCCATCACTTCCTCAACAGGGGATGCCGATTTCCTCTCTTCTACATCCGCCATTCTAATGTGTGCTTTATAGCTTTATTAGCGTCCAATAGCTAATAAAGGCATCTAAATCTATAACAATAGAAAAAAAATACATTCAAATTCAAGGAATATAACCTATGTAATCAATAAATGTGGATTAACTAATGTAAGTAGTTGTCAAAAAACAACAAACAAGAATAATAAAAACCCATAGGTACAAGTTTTAAAGAGATACCATTACAGAATTCCAGATCACATCATACACACCACATAGGAAAATTGATTTTAAACTAATTTAACATTTCAGTTAAATTTAGGAATAAAACCTTTGTTGATTATGAGAAAATTGTCAAAGGAGTATCTTTCATTTTAATTATAGGCATTTGGAGAGTTGAATCTTACAACACTAATAATTACACAATCATACAGAAATAAAATAGGAAATAATCAGAGAAGAGAGCAACAGCAATTTGTCTCTTGTTAATTTTTTCACCATCCACAACTAACCTCATAACCAAACCACTGGACTTAGAAACCAAATTTTAACTTAAAAACAAATCTTAAGTGCAAAACTTGTAAGAAAAATGCTTATTCAGTTTGAAAAATTGTTTCATGCGTTTTAGAAATTTTTTAAACGCATGATGACAGAAAAACATACCATTGTTGTTTAAATAAGAGGTTGGGTGGACGGTAAACAGTATTCTTATGAGTAGGCCTTGCCTGCAGACAAGAAGTCGCATTTATTACGACTGAGAGCCGACACATCCCTGACGAGCATCGTAATAAATTCGGGAGAAAATTTAGAAATTTTCAATCAGTCTACTACCATGCCAGTGTAAAATACTGCGAGTGTATTTGTTTTCCTGTGATGATACCAAGCTCGTTCTGTATCGCGGCGGGTGCCTCTTCGCTCCAAACGAAGCCAGGACAACATAGACTTCTCACACTTCCACTAGTTTCGACCGCATAGAACACTCTTACTTACCTAAGGAATGGCGTAATTATTTACAAATGCCATCATAAGCTAGAGATATAAGATATAATACACCGGTTAAGTCTAAATGGCCTAGGCCTACACAAAACATCCATTGCAAAGTGTTTGCATTTTAGACTACCTCTTCTGTAGACTCTCGACGCCTCTTTCAATCATCGACGTAACTACGTGTTTCAACACACGCTCCAGTAGATGCTGTATGATCAATGTCTAATCAGGGAAAATCGGAGAATCGAACTTTTCGTTTCAAGTTGCGTTTCCAAAAAATTGTAATTGATACCTTGAAATAAATGTAACAGCATTCCAATTTTCTGATAAAGGTGAAACTACAACGGTTACGGAGTTTCTATGGCTCCGCTGGGCTGGCAACACGATGGTGGGTCCTTGCCCCCTCCCCCTTCCCTCCCCTTTGCCGCCCTCAGACGCGAACCCACGTGGAAATGCAAATTAATTTCATCGCTACTAATCAGAGTCATCCGATCGGTGCTCAAGCAGTAGTGGATTAGGGGGACCTTCGACTTGGTCGTCCCTTGGCCATTTCCGTACAATTTCTTGAATAAGAAATTAGAAAAGCCGAAGTGGTGTGTGGTCACCCGGCGGACGCGGGGGGAGGTGTTCCCTCCCTCCTTGGAACTGGCCCGTAAGGCCCAACTGGTGGTCTGCATCCGTCAGCGTCTGCTGCCCAAGCGGCTTGCAAAGTTTTGTTTACTCTTGCTGATTTTGTGCAGTCGTCGCTTGATTCAGGTGCATTGCGTCCAGTAGGTTGAATCGTGGGTTGGGCACCTTTACCAGTCGCGTCTCTAGCGGAATTGACGATGCTTCCCTCCCTACTGTCAATGTGTTGGCAAGGTTAATCAGCTGGAAAGTGCAATAACAGGTGGGTATATTGTCTACTATATTCCCGCACATCTGATACCAAACGTCTTAATTTTTCCCGCGCAAAGTTTGCTGTAGATAATATTTTTTGGGAGGGGAAGACTGAGTGCGTGCTCGTTGAATGCAATTTTATAAACGTCCATATGTTTCTGTTCTCTTGACTGTTTTCCCCCTTCAATTGCAGGTGGTGTTCGATCGGCATGGGTGCGATGGATTACGACTACTTGATAAAGTTTCTGGCACTGGGAGACTCAGGTGTGGGGAAAACCAGTTTCCTGTATCAATATACAGATGGCACTTTCAATACTAAGTTTATTTCCACTGTTGGAATTGATTTCAGAGAGAAAAGATTGGTGAGTACTTTTCTGCAAACTACAAGAAGTCCAGTTGAGATACAAATAGTTTTACATGAAACTTCCTATCTGCCCCGTAGATGTACAGAGGTACAGGGAGAAGCCAGTGGGTCCATTTACAGTTATGGGATACAGCTGGACAAGAAAGGTATGAATTCTTTAAAAATAAATTTAAAAAAAATAAAATAATAAATATTAGCCATAAATAGACTTTTTCCTTTGACATCCTAGTGGTGTACTAGCTTTGTTTAATAATACTAGAATGAAAGTAGCATGATGTACACTTCATTTCATTACTTTAAGATTGATGAACTAAAATCTGTGTAGAAGCACTGTAGATATGGCATGTAGAATTTGTGCATTAGATTCCGTAGCCTGACAACTGCCTTCTACCGGGATGCCATGGGTTTCCTGCTGCTGTTTGACTTGACTAACGAGCAAAGTTTCCTGGAAGTGAGAAATTGGCTTGACCAACTTCGGGTATGAACTAATGACTAACCCTTTTCAGATCAGTTCTCTAATTATTTCATTGGTGTCAAAACTAGTTCCAGAATAATTAAATTACCTATTCCAGACCCATGCTTACTGCGACAGTCCCGACGTAATATTGTGTGGAAATAAAAGTGACATGGAAGATCACAGAGTCATAAGTGAAGCCCAAGCAAGAGATGTTGCCGACAAATATGGGTAGGTTCACAAAATTTAGCAAAATGAACTAAGTTCAGTATTTATCATATATGAAATTTGGTGACAGACTACCATACCTTGAGACAAGTGCAGCAACCGGACACAATGTGGGGCTTGCAATCAATATCCTTTTGGACAAGGTCATGACACGAATGGAAAATGCAATTGACAACCCTATGTTTCCTGTAAGACAATTGAAACTTCCAGAAGCACCACCACCGATCTCATCAAGTCAAATGTCTCAGTGTATATGCAATACCCTGTGAATTCGAAAACCAGTTCCTTTGATGCCACAATTGCTAAGGTGGAGCTCTGTATTGGTTGTCATCTTAAAGCAATTCAAAAAGATATCAGGCAATAAATTAAACAATATCAAAATTTAACATTTTATATTTTTTATTCAACATCGTTCACATCATGCTGAGGCTTGGGCAGCGGCGGCAGCAGCAGCTTCTTCCTCCTTGATACGATCTTTCTTCAGGGGACCCATGAAGGCAGCCTTATCAGCAGAGGTCTGGAAGCGACCATGACCAAACTTGGATGATGTGTCGATGAACTTAAGGTTGATCTTCTCCAAAGCAACCCTCTTTGTGTGTGTGATCAGGGACTGGAAAGGCAAAGGTCACATCTTAGCGAACATCAAAAATATGAATACAGACTCCCCAGAAGCACAGATCTCAGACCGCCCTAGAATGTATCTTCATTAGAATCAGGTTCTAACCATTTTAAATATTCTAGAATCATCATTGATCAAAATATAAAGAATTCCTGATAGGAGACTTACCTTTCTGAGGGTGATAACACGCTTCTTGGGACCAACAACACAGCCCTTGATCATAAGGTAGTCATTGTTTACCTCACCATAGTGGGGGAATCCACCCATGGGAGTAATGGTCTTCTCGGTCAAGTCATACTCAGTTGAGGCATTGTTCTTAACAACCTGAAATGTACAAAAAAAGTTTAAGTATCATGAAGACAAATGTGGCTGGAAACATTACATCACACGTTGCCTCAGGCCTATCATTCAATATCATTAGATTTCAAAATTGTGTGTTCGGCTCTAGATAAGATCATCATGGGCAACATGTGAGAAAGAAAGGGACATTGGCTTTACCTTGCCATCCTTGATGTGAATGCCCTGTCCAATACGGTAGATCTTCTTGTTCATCTCAGTTCTGTGGTGGTAACCCTTCTGACCAGCCCTGGCAACAGTGAAGGATACTCTGCTAGGATGCCACGCACCAATACACGCGACCTTTCGCAGACCCTTGTGTGTCTTCCTGGGAAGTTTCTTGGTGTGCCAACGGGAGGTGACACCTGATGGAAGCGAAAACAGGAAGAATTAGAAGGGGGACAACATGATCAGTAACAGTAAGGGACTGTGCCTCAGGCCTATCATTCATTATCATGTATGATCAAAAATTGTGTGTTCGGCTCTAGATAAGATCATCATTGGCACAAAAATTCAGAGGAAGAAAATGCTTACCCTTCATTCCATGACCCTTAGTGACACCAATGCAGTCAATCATCTCGTCAGCAGAGAAGACGTTGGACACAGGGATGGGCTTCTCCAGGTGCTCACGCGCCCACTTCACCTTGTCTTCAATGGAACCTCCATTGAGCTGGATCTCCATGATGTGAGCCTTCTTCTGGCGATGCCTCAACAGTTTCATCTGAAACAAGAATAACAAGGTTTATAAAGACTGTTACCTTCGTTTTAAGTCTCCAATCTAGCAAGGCTAACAGAACTGTGCCAGACATGGTTTGTCTCACTGGAGAGAGCAGCAATGAGATTATGGAATATGCCGTGCTTCTGCTCACCGAGGGAGCAGAATTTTTCTATGAAGCCATGGTCAGGATTAGACTGCACAAAATCAAGCAGCTCCACACCATTGAGTTAAGCTACTGGTTTCCCAGTAACCGGCCCTCTTCAGCTTCAAAATAGATATAGGATGTAACAGAGCTTAAGTATGAAGAACTGTGCCAGACATGGTTTGTCTCAATAGTGAAGACACCAAAGAGGTTATGGAATATGCCGTGCCTCTGCTCGCCAGATGGGAACAAAGATAATATATGAAGCCATGGTCAGGATTAGACTGCACAACATCAAGCAGCTCCACACCATTGAGTTAAGTCACTGGTTTCCCAGTAACCGGCCCTCTTCAGCTTCAAATAATTAACAGTGACAGAAAACTTACTTGAGTGTGGCAGATGACCCTGATGACAGTGCAGTAGCGCACAAGTTTCTTGAAGTTCCTCTCAATAGACTTGCGGCCCAATTCATCCTGCCACTTCTTGGAAGTCTTGGTGAAAGCCTTCTTCTTTGATTTGTACCTAAAGACAAATCAATTTCTGGGGTAGGGAGGAGGACTTTAACGCCGCTTCAGGTGCAGAGGACAGAGGGAAGGAGATTGGGAGAAAATCTCCAACGCCCATTTACAGCATGGGCAGGCTTTACTCTCATCGGAAGACCGAGTGGAGAGCTGAGGAGGGGTTTAGTCACAATTGCAAACAGGGCAATAATAATAAGACATCCTTATCTCAGACCGCCCTAGAATGTATCTTCATTGGAATCAGGTTCTAACCATTTTAAATATTCTAGAATCATCATAGATAAGGATATCTGAGAAAAGTAATAACACATACCAGTTCTTGTAATATCTACGGCGGCAGTCCTCTGACAGATGCTCAGCCCAGACAGTGGCGAGCGATCGGAGACCATGGGGAGTTTCGATGTAACCAACTACACCCACAACAACCATGGGAGGTGCTTCAAGGATGGTGACGGCTTCCACAATTTCTTTCTTGTTAAGTTCTGCAAGGAAAGTCAGGTGTGAGAAAATTGACGTGATCTGTTGAGCATTATCATGCAAATCTGGATGGCATCAGAAGGAAGGCAACATGGTTTCCTCCGCATTATTGCTTAGGACAAGCTCAAAATTCCAAGGGTTTCATCATGATCGGATTAACAGCGAAGAAGGAAATAGACTAGACCAACAGCATCAGAAGGAAGGCAACATGGTTTCCTCCGCATTATTGCTTAGGACAAGCTCAAAATTCCACAGATATCATCACAAGTTGTTGGGATTAGCAAAAGGGGAAAGGCTCACAAATAGAAACTAGCAATGCATCAGAAGGAAGGCAACATGGTTTCCTCCGCATTATTGCTTAGGACAAGCTCAAAATTCCAAGGGTATCATCATAACATTGCCAAGTTCTTTACACTCTAGGTCTGCAAGGGAGAAATGGGGCACATGCAAAGAATCGAACGATGATGATTTACTTACTAGAACCAGGTCGGTCGGCCTCTCTTACGACGTGGGTCATGCCCGCCTTGTAGGCGATGAAGGCCGTAAGGTGGACGGGCTTCGATGGGTCATCCTTAGGGAAAGCCTTTACCTTTCCACGATGACGCTTGGAGCGCTTCTTAGGGTAGAAGCCCATCGACCCATGACGAGGGGCACTGAATTTTCGGTGAGACTGAAAACAGAAAAAGTTCGTGTAAAAATTACGAGGCGAGGGTTAGCGGCATCAGCCACAACATGGCCGGCGAAGCCACGCGAGAATGCGGTGAGGTTAAGATAGAAAAAGCGTACAGAGCCATCTCAAATCGCGAACACCGAGTAAAACGATGTCGGGTAGACAGGGCTACGGACATGTGGCAGTAATGAATTCAAGATAACAAGAAACTTCATAGGTAAAACAGAACACTGAGGCTCCCGGCTTAAGACGCTACGTGAGCAGCAACGTGGCCACAAAGTTCACAGTTTAGACAAGGAAAGCTAAGAACACGATCGTAGCAAATAATAAAATTGGACAACAGACAAATGTGACGAACCATAAGAGGATCACCACAGAGATAGAACGACGGAAAAAGTCGATGCTTGACGATAACTCAGCTTCAATAGCACGAGCACAATGTTCTTACCATCTTGTCTCGCCGACCGGAAAGAAGTGAACGATGTGACTGAGGACGGAAACCAGGGTGCTCTTTTACCCACTTGAGTTGCTGCTGACGGCCGCCAGAGCTCGCTTCAAGCACATGAAAACAAAAGAGTGCTGTTTGAAGCAGTGTAGGCATTTTCGTCAAAGGATTTCGTTTTAAACGCTACCTATATGTATTTCAGGATTTTGTTCGTATGTCTTATCTATTTTTTATTGTTCCATGGTAAGCGCATTGCGAAAACCTGTTCTTGTGGGAGAAATCCAGAGAGTTAATTTAAATTTAGCATTTCGCCATTCTACACTTGGCAAGCTTGCAATATTGCAATTTCTCATTCTTCCAGTCTTTAAAAGCCGCGATAATTCAAAGTGACCGCTCGTGTACCGCTCTTCAAGTCAAGCTTCAAGCTTTCAAGATTGAGGAGTTCAGAATGTCAGATTTTATATTCGGAACGGAAGTATCTATGTTACTTGCACTTATTTTAAGTCAGGGGGTGTTAAGTGAGAGAGCGAGCCTGCCGTGAACGCGTGAAGGAACGGCCGCAGAGAACGAACGTTTTCCATTAGCTCACCAGTTCGTTCACTTTTTCACCGCGTTCCCGTTCCCGAGAAGCCCCCCAGGAAAAAGGTTTTTTTTTAAAAAAATGAAAAATGACTCACTGCTTTCCTTATTTTAAGCTTGTTTTTTTTTTTTTCTTTCTTCATTTTATTAGATTAAATTTTAATTTAAAAATACTTTTAATCTTTAAACATCATGTTCCTCCCTCAGTCAGGATAGAAATTAATAATGATATTACATGAACATTTACACTATTTCCTAGTAATCTATACTTTTGTTTTGTTGTAATTTTATCTGGGAAGGAAAACATAGGCTCCTCTGGGAAACACATCAATCTTGCAACTTCTCTAGGAGTGAAATAACGTAATTTTAATTGTTTCATTTCTTGGATTTGCTCATCACTTTCAATAACAAGCTCCCTATTTTTGGCCCTGATGTTGTGAATATCACTCATATTCCAAGTTGTGAGAACAGAGCCTGTGCCATCTGAATAGTGACCATACGCTTTAGTGAAGCAGCAAGATCTCTTAGATTGCGGAGTCACAATGTCAAGTACAACAGATCGCTTTCCTAAAACTTTATCAGGGAGAAGAAATGAAGAAACGGTTGGACTATCCGGATCTTCATCTTCCAATATTCTTTTTAAAGTGTGGCTTGGTGGATGTATTATACCCCCGTCAGATGGAACTCGGTCTTCATCTTCTACAACTTTGTCTGCATCAGCCATATCTCTGTATCTTTTATTCAATCTTGTCAATATATTTGCACTTGTTTTCCCATTATCAATGGAAACAGGAAACTCTGTCATCTGCAAAACACAAAATTACCCAAAAATTAAAGAATGGTCAGATTTATTTACTAAAAATAACTTATGAACCAGGAAAATTACCACAGTATCTTCTGTTTTAAAACAAAACTTCAATGGAAGTCGCTTAGCCAATAAGTAATATCGAAGTCTAGAATTAGGAATGCCAAATTGTGTGGGACTTAATAGGACCTCCTGGACGACAAAGTTCTCTTTACAAAGAGCTTCAACCAATTGGTTTCTTGATTCTGACAACTCAAATCCTTTCACATTTTCAACTAGGATGTATCGAAGAGATGAGTTTAGATCTGGGAGTGTGGAAATAAAATGAAGGAGAGAACATGTTCGTTGATCAGATAAATCCTTCTGAAGGCCAACTCTAGAAGGTACAAAAAAAAAAAAAAATAGATTATACTAAGCGAGACAATTTGCTCTTTGGAAAATAAGAGTAATACCTTGTAAATGGTTGACATGGAGGGCTCATTAAAATCATGTCTGGCGCCATTTTATTGATTTCAGATGCAGTAAATGATTGAATATTTCGACAAATCAACGGTGACGATGGAAAGTTGTGCCGGTAAACCTCATTGGCAACTGTATTGATATCAACTGCAGCTACCACCTCGTGAGGAATGCCGCTTTCTAGAAATAGGAAAGCAGTCAAAGGCAATGGCAATCATTTAGAGCCAAATCTCTTGGAGATTCAAGAGATAAACATACCTTTACAAGCATAATGCATCCCCCCAATACCACTGTAAAGTTCTAACACCCTCATTTCGTAGATTTGGTACACACTTTTGGAGGTTAGGAAACGTGTTTACTAGGAGAAGATCTAATAAACTTCTCATACTTCACCGCGTGGCGGGCGGGATCGGATAGCAGAAGACATTCCGCACAACCGGCATGGCTCACAAATCTTGTTTCTCTATAGAAATCGAATTAAATTAATTCCTCTGACATTGATCTGGCAACTTTGTATCGCTCCTAAGAAATAAATACCAGTTTTGGAAGATTGCTGTAATTAGTCAAATCGTAGGAAAACGTGTTGTATTAAGCCTTATCTGAGGGCCTTAACCCCCCATAAACTGCTTGAGTTTTGTTTTCCCCCATAGGAATTTCTATAATTTCTCTTATTTCTCTTAAAAATGACTGATACTTCAAAAGGAAAGAGCCCAAAAGAGATATTTAAACATTTGCGGGATATAGGTTGTTGCAAACTATGTTGCTTACGATATCTAGGTGAACGCTCCCAGTACGCCTATCAAAATCCAGATGAAGCGCTTCAAATGGTAAACATCCCTTTGATACTAGAGTGAGATCAGTCTTGTTATTCCTGTGTGTTCTTTTATTTATGTTCTCCTGTGCATTATTTGAATCTTCTAGAAATCTCTCGTTGATGAAGTTGAAGACACAGAGAACCCAACAAAACTGAAGAAAGACAATGTCTGTACTGCATGCTTGGGTTTACTTCAAGAAAATTTTAGAGAAACCTTCATTGAAAAGGTAGACAAGTTTCCCTTGTTTTTCCTCAGCTATCATTGAAACGTATCGCATTTAACTGTTGGTCTCTTAGATTATTACAGATGTAAACACAGCTGATTATGACTGCAGAGAATTCTCATGTGCGCTGTCAATGCCCGTCAGCTTTTGCCTCCGAACTCACTCATTCAATTTACATATTGATGAAGTATTTCCTAGTGAAACTGATGAGCCAGCTGAAGCAAAGTTTATGTCTGTCAAAGAAGTTTGGAAATGGATTGCTTCTCCTCTGATAGCAAAGGGAATTTCCAAATCGTTTAATCCCAACAAAGACTGTGACTTCTCAATCACAATTAGTATTGGGTATGAGGATGATGAGAAAGAATGCAATTGTTTGTAAGTTTAAGACTTATTGTTCATTGTTTCTTGTCAGGAGACATTTCATTGTTTTCATACAACTGAATTATCACTTTTACAGAATGGATATGCACAAAGAAATTTATGAAATGAGAAAAAAACAGAAAAGGAAGTTCAAGGACTGTGTACTATCTCGCAAGTCTGTGGAATCTTTGCTGCTCTCAACGGATCCCAGCCACTTCAAAAAGTTTTATCCTTCCCCTCCTAATATACCAAACACCTCTTTCACTTGTTCCGCTGTGGCCCCCTTACATAATTCACTGTTCATTGCTGGCCGATACAACAAGTACTCACGTACATTGAGCCAGACTCCTTGGATTATTGATGGTAAAAGGCTTATGGAGACCTCAGTACAGGAACTCCTATGTAATCCAATTATTGAAATATCAAAAGCTGATGGTAGGTATAGCTCAGTTTAAATGCATTGTTGTAAAAACCATTGATTCTGCAATCCAAACAAACTCATGCTCATGGTGTTTTTTTCTTGTTAGATCTACGGTTTGCTTCTTCAGGGCGAGAAGACGTTGATGTTCGTATGCTGGGAAAAGGGAGGCCCTTCTTCTGTGAGTTGATTAATCCTCACCGTGTTCATCTTCAACCAAGCCAATTCCGCAATATTGAAAAAGCTATTGCTTCAACAACTAAGGATGTTGCAGCTAGACATCTTCAAATAGTTTCAAAGTAATATTCCTAACAAAAGTCCTTTCTTAATTTTCAATTTTGTAATATTGCGAATTTTCTGAAAAACACTTCTTGCAGGGACCAAGTTTCACAAATAAAAGCTGGTGAAGAAGAAAAAGTTAAACTCTACAGCGCTTATTGTATAGTCTCTGGAGATAAAGCCTGTGTAGACTGGGGAAAATTGGAATCGTTGCCTCCCAAATGTCCCATAGTTCTTCAACAGAAGACACCTATAAGGGTTTTGCATCGTAGAAGTCTAGCTACAAGAGAAAGGACAATTTTTAGACTGGAGGTGTGCAAAACAGAGACCGAGGAATCTAAGGCTTTCATTCTGAAAATGGCTACACAAGCTGGTACATACATCAAAGAGTTTGTGCATGGTGATTTTGGAAGGACAACACCAAGTCTACGGGATCTTTTGGGAACGGACGTTGATATTCTAGCCTTGGATGTATTGGTAAAATCCATATTATTTCCTCTGTAAGACATTTTATTAACCCTTATTTTGGTTTAATCAACCCATATTGACTTTTTCCCTATTCTTCACTTTAGGACATTGAATTGGACTGGCCACCAGAGGTGAACTACGACGAGGAGAGTGAGAGTGTCACATAAGCATGGAAGTTTTGATTGTCAGAGAAACAGAAGATTTTATTTTAAAATGTCCAATATCTCATTAACGGAAAATATAATATTTGGTAATTAATTAAACATGAACCTCTTTGCTATAATCTATTCTTAAGAGGAAAAATGTTTCTCATCTAGTATCTCTTCTTTCCTGCTCAGTAGAATAATGTAAGTACAGTACATGAGGTCAATTCTAGGCGTCACGTATAGACATTCTGGGATAGAAATATATGATTCTTGTTTATTTATTAACTAAAGAAAGAGGTTAATGATTTAGGAAATCTAAAATTTAGGTTTTCTTGATATGCTTTTGAACTGGTATCTGATGCTAAAAGCAGATACTTTTTGGCATGTACTAGCCGAATCGGTGACCTGGAATGAGGCCCATCAAGAGATTTAGCAGAAAGAGTAATCATCCGTTAAAATATGACTAAATTGCTTATTTGGCACAGTTGAATCGTTAATTAAAAAGTGTATTGATTTATATTAGATGGTTTTAACATATGAAATAGATCAAGTGAAGGTTTCAAGCACTGCATAGGACACATAATTGAAAGTTCAAAAGGACCGGATTGCCTACTTACAGGGTTTGTTCTCAATCAGTCATGAGAACCAAGGCTGTAAATAAGCAATTTAACACCCGAATAAGGCCATCTATTACTTCCACTTTCATAGCTGTCCATCCATTTTGAGAACCTCAATATCAAGGTTTTAAAGTTAACACTTTTACATGATCACATTTAAATCTTACAAACTAAAATTGACTGATAATAAGCTGTGTTTAATTAGTGAGGAACCTACTATTAGAGAGAGAACCATTGCACCTGGCCCTAATTTAGAGATTGTTTGATACTTACGCAAAGTTTATAGACATTTATGATGACTATGAAATCTGTGACTGCGTAAAGGGATAGCAAATTGACTTCTGATTGCAGTATCTGCAAGCTTCACATATAATAACAATGTTGTCAGTACTCTCTCAAAAGTATTGGCCTGGTCAGCAAATATGTTTCCAGAACTTTGACTCCCAAGTGCAATGGATGTTTGTTTAAAACAAAAATGGCAGTTAAAGAGCTCTCCAAAACAAAGAAGTACAGGTACAGATTTGGTACAGGTACTAGGTATCCAAATAACAAAAATATCTAAAAAGATTGCAGGTCAGGATTCTGAAGCTAAGAAATTTTCCATAATTCCTTTGTGCAACGGCAAAAAGTTAAGTCAATGTTTTCATTTTCTACAAGGAATTATGCAAAATTATTTTTTTACTGTTGAGACTTTTTTTTGGTGAAATATTTTAGAGTTTTATAAAGAGAAGAAAAATATGCATGAAAACATGCAGATAATAACTTATTTATGTTATACATTTAGAATCACACTAACATCAAGCGTCTTGATGTTGAAAAGGTAACATAAGTTATTTTTATGGGCAAAAGAGAAACGGCACATATGATCAGGATAAGCCATCAAAAATCGTCTGATGTCTCCAAAATAAATAGCTCTTTTTCTCTACAGTTAGGCCATAAAATATCACAATGTTTTCAAAGAGCAAAAGTAATATCAAGAAGATGACAAAACATGTTGCAGTAAGTCTCTTAATTACTATATTTTAATGTTACAGGTCTCTATTTTTTTTTTTTCTGGAACTTGTGTTTTCAATTCCTTTTCAAACTATAGCATCAGATCTAATTGGCCTTTAAGACTTTTTGTCTTGCTTGGTGCAACTGAATTTCTACTATGTGAGCACCAGACCCAAATAGTGAAAGACCTACAAAGACGAAAGCATGCAAGAGAGCATACACTTGAGCAAATGTGCTCACCAATATTAACCATAAGGCTGTACATATCAAACATGTCCAGAAACAAAATGCTAAACATAACGCTGTTTCTGTTGGCTCAGCCTTGTCTTTTCTGTTCTGTAATTTTGAATCTTTGAAGTACCCATCTTTGTAAAATTGCTGAAGCTGCTGCTCCTTCTCCCTCCACCTCTGCTCTAGCCAAGCCTTCAGGTCATTCTCTGTCTCGGGTATGTCTGCCACATTGTACCTAATTGTAGTAAGAACAAAAAATATGGTTATTTTCCTCTATTTGTAGAAGAAACATACTTCTTGAGAATAATTGTTATACTGTACCTCTTAAAGTGGAAATGAATTTCTTCTGGTATGTGCCCCCGGAAAAGATCTACCTCACTTTGCACTAAAGTTTTTGGATAGCCCACGGACACATCGTAGATTGCATCCAGGTGTTTATCTGCAATTTTAAACTGCAATAAGCAAGAATAGAAAAATTTGGTTGTAATTTTCATTTTGAGGGTAATTGAGTCCCTCGCCGCCTATTTGGAGTGCGTGTATGTTTGTGTTTCCTTGTGAGAGACGATCAAAGTTAGACGCAACGCGGCCATGCGTCTTGTTAGACCCGCCCGTCCCTGTTTCGGCTTGCTTGTTATTGTTATTTGTAGCCATCGACGAGCTTACGGAAGTATCCGTCAGTAGACTACTGGCCGGCCAGCTACTCCGAGGGGGAAGGAGTAGGCCTATAGGGAAACGCGAGTTGGGTAAGAGAGCGCAGATGTGCAGATCTTCCCTCGCCCGCAGTGGTGTTCATTGTCATGCCATTATTAGAGGCATCCATGGCAATTCCCCAATAGATGTTGCAGGCTGTCGGTAGTCGCTTGTCCGTACTCACACTCTCGCATGGTGTTGGCGAGGAACACGAAGCCGGTGGTCTTGGGGTGCAGCACGTACTCGTAGTGCGGGAGGCCGTGGGAGTCGGCCCAGCGGTCGCTCCGACACGCGCTCTTCGGCGTCAAGTCCGTGCCCTCCGGGAAGAGAAGAATCTGGCGTGCAAGACAGCGTCAGCGTTAGCGGGGACCTCACAGAGTTGCCGGGCGAAACGGACGGCGCAATGCTCACCTGGCAGGTGTGGCCCATGTCCCGGAAGAAGCGCAGGCTCTGGGCCAGGAGGCGCTGGTCTCGCTCCCAGCTGCGGTGGATGTACAGGTGGCAGGCCATCTGCATGACCCAGCCGGGGCCCGGCACGTGCGCGATGGGGGCCTTGAGCACGAACTTGAGCCGGGTGGCCTGCGGCCCGGCGCGCACCGCGCGCTGCATGCCCGCCCACAGGAAGTTCCAGTCCAGCCTCGTGCGGTGGTTCATGACGAGCAGCGACCGCTCCGCGCCGTCCACGGGGTCCCCCGTCACCACCACCTTGGTCTGCAGCACGAGCCGTATCAGCGCCTGCAAACAGGAGGATGACGCTGACTCGGCTGCCCCCGCGCTAGCGCTGCGCCAGCGCCGCGCGCCCCTGTGAGGCGGGGGATAGGCCGCCCGGCGCGCACCCGTGCGCGAGCGTTGCCCACCCCGCTGGCACCCGCCACACACTTACCGCGGGGTACAGCTCCCACATGGCGAACACGACGTCGATGGCGAGGCGGTAGGTGCGCGGGCGGAGCACCATTAGCGGCAGCAGCGGGCAGCACAGGAGCAGCCAGCCGCTCAGGATGGAGCCGAGCCACAGGCCGCAGAACACGCTGCCCCGCACCCACTCCCACCACCTGGGCGGCAGCATCTGCGGAGAGGAGAGAGACGCGACCGTGTGGTGAGTGAAAGAGAGGGAAAGAGGGAGGGCTTGACCCGCGCGGGGCCCCCAGCAGCGTGCACCCCCAGAGGGCAAAGGGCCAAGCACGTGTGCGCCCCCCCCCCCCCCCATGCTCGCTCGCCCCGCTTCGCTCGATTCGACAGGTGTTCCATCGGTCGTAACAGGGCAGCTGACGTGCTTGTCGAGGTGGACAGCATATGTAGCAGCCCCACCTCTCCTAAACTCTTCAGGAATAAATGCCGTGTCGTACTTCCCTTCCGTTCCACCCCCCCCCCCCCTCCCTCGCTTTTGGCCTCGAGAATACGAGATGCCCCGGTTATGTCGCGGCGCTCTCACGCGAGGACCTCGGCCCATGAGGAGGGCGACATCGATGCTCATCGATAGGCCAAACTTATGCCGCGGGGAGGGCGAGAGAGGGGTCCCCACTGACCCAGTGGAAAAAAGCAGGGGGGGGGGATAGGCCACCGTGAATGTTTAACGCTGTTAGAGGGAGGGGATGCCGCTCGGACAAAGTGTGACGCGAGAAGCAGTGACGTCATCCCGCGCCCCCTCCGCCCACACCCCCTCCAACCCAACAGCCCCCTCCATACACATTCCGCTGTCCTGCTCCCTCTTCCTCCGTGTCCCCTCCAAATCCCTTTAGTCCTACATGACAACTCCAATGGATCGTCGTCGGCGTCATGTAGTGGTCCGAACTATGAATATAGGATATAACGGGTGGATAAAGGGTGCACTCACACGCTCCGTGCGAGTCTGCCCCGGCCCCGGACCTCTGACGGCCCGGGTGCAACACCACGGAAACTGGTGCATACCGCCTAGAATGGCTGGCAAATATCTAGATGAGATTAGAAAAGTGACTTTTTAAAGCGCTGTTCAATACTGACTGACGTGCCCTGCATCCTGCAGCACTAGCTTACGGCCAACTTTCACCGTAAGCTACGGTCAATATCACTGTAACGGTTCGCTGCAGCCGACGATGAAATTCACCGTATAAGCTTTCAACAGTGTGCCCTCCAGCAGGCGTATCATCTATTTAGTGACCTCGAGCGCGCGTGAGAAACGCATCCTTAGCAAAACCGCAACAGGAAACGGGTGGATAGCGACAGGGGCAGGGCGGGAGAGTGGAAAGGGGGAAGGGGGGAGCAGCAGGGCGCGGGCGCACACGCACAGGCTGACCGCGAGCTGCGCCCGGTAGCTCCCCCTCGAGTGTGTGATAGCGGTCGCGGTGCTTCTCAATAAATGGACGCGAAGGCCCCCGGGCCGATGTCCAAAGTCGTTCATCCGTTTCCTGTGCGCGGGGGTTGGGTAATTGGGCATTGGCGCGCACAACGAGAGGGATGTCACCGAGAGGGTGCACCAAGGTGTGCTTGTCCCTGGCCGTGACACGGTGACCGACCGCGAGCACGTTCCACAAGCAGCTCGCCGCTCGCGCGCGCGCGCCCCACGAGTGCAGCCAAACAGAGCAATAATGTAATCAGTACTCACTCGGCGGCAACAGTCGTACTTACCGAGTCGTTGACGTCCCCCCACCCCCGACCCCCCGACCGGACCGGACCGGACCGGCCGAGTGGAGCGGAGGCAAACACGGGAAAATAATAAAAAGGAGGCAAAACGAAAATATACGCACCATTTGTGGGATGCCGTCCGCAGTTGCGCGAAGTCCAGTCGACGGCGCGGGCCGCGGAGGACGGCCGGAGGGCGACGCGCTCGCGGGGGTGCTCTGCTCCGACACGACGCCGCACCGCACACTCCGACCCCTCTGGACCGGCGCCGGTCCGGGACGTCTCGCGACTACCACCCCTGTCTGAGCTGCGCGGGCGGCGCGGCGCGGCGGGGCGGGGTGGACTGGTGGACTGCTGGGCTCCCGAGCGCGGGCGCGGAGCGCGCGGAGCAGTGGCGGGGCGGCGCTCACCTCACCCCTCCCCTCTCGGCCCGCGGCGCGCACGCGAGGGGCTTGGGGGAGGGGAGGCTCCACGACGGGGGTGGGAGCGCGCCACCCTTCATCCCCTACCTTCCCCCTCCCCCTTACGTCCCTCCGGCTCTCTCTAAAGTCCTGTCCTGTCGGTCGTGTTTTCCCCGCGGCTGCTGCTGTTCCCTCTAGCCTGCCGCCTATGTCGAGTGTGCGTCCGGCCTGCTGGCCACCGTGGCCGTGGCCGAGGCCGACGATACGATGCCCTCCCGTGCGAACAGGAGGCCGCGGCCCTTCTAGCTTTGGCGAGGCCGCGAGGCCGGGCAGGGCCAGGGCCAGAGCCAGGGCTTTTGGCCATTTCCTCTCGTGCTGCTCGGACCGGGACCAGACTCCGCCGTGATGCCGTTGGGATGGTAGTGTAGTGGTATCGATCGCACGAGGAGGGGGAGGGGGCTGAGAGGGGGGCGGAGCCTGACGCGCGCGCTTCTGGGACAAGGGGGAAGAAAGGGGTTGGGGGAGGGGGGTGCATCAGGAGACGAGCTGAGCGTTGTGTGGAAGCTGAGTGTTTACTCGACGTGCGGCTGGCCTGTTTAGTCGTGGTCTGCTCTCTCACACAAGCGCGCGCGCGCGCGCACACACACACACGCACGCAGCCGTTGGGCTCATCAAATACCCTCCATGGTCCCATTGCCGCTTATTGCCCATCGTGCTTTCACCTCTGGCACAGGACTATGCCAGGTGGTTTATTGTTAATTCATAATGAACCCCACGCACTTCCCTAGTTTTGCCGTACCTACGTACAGTACCCACTTTGGGCTGTAACCGCATTCTTCCATGCGGGTGGGTTGCCTAACGGCGTTATGATAGGTGCGATAGGCAAACCCGCCCTACTCTGGCGTGCGGTACAGTGTAACTACCCCAGAAGCACCCACTGCATTAAAGGCGCTTCATTGCGCATAGAAATACATTTAATTCGTTTGGCGCCACTGGGGTAGAAAAGTGCGCTGGTCAATCATAATCATCCACCTGGTATCATCCCCCATAACTGTCGCCCCCCCCCTCCCTTCCCCGCAAAAAAGAAAAAAAAAACACCTGGTGGCAGCCTTTGTGCAGCCTTGGCCCGTCTGGCCCATAAGGCCCACTGCCCAGCCCAGGGCCATAGTCACGGTGTTAGAAGCCTTTGAGGGACGCGGGGCGGGCGCACCCGGCTTCCATTGAGTGACACAGGTGCAGCAGCTTATGGGCACCCTGCTGTGAATAACCTAGAGCAACCTTCAGCACCTCCGGGTTTCAGACCCCTGTAATCCCGTGAGGGGCGCCCTCGCGGAGCACATGTAGTAGCAGGCGGCCCATGCTCATGGCCCTAAACCAACACGATAAGGGTGTCCCGCAAGGACGCGAACCCCACCGTTTAGTAGATTACTCAACTCGGCTGGTGACGTTTGAAGTCAGGGGAATGGTTTTGGGGTCGATGATTGATAGCTATGGTTGCTTCGTGGGGATTGTGTTTCAGCATTGTTTTTTCGGCGTCGAAGACCGCCACAGTCTTAGTCCGGCACGATCTTGTCTTTGTATGTTCCCGCCATCAAGTCATAGCCTTCCACTTCCGCAACCCGGCCGACACGGCACGACACGGCACGGCACGCTTCATCTTCAACACATTTTCAACCCAACCTCTTCAACAACATGGTCATGATGAGGAACGCTGGGCCTTCAAATGTGCGCGAAGAAAATGGCAAAAATGACAAGCAAGCATTACTTGTGGCTCAAGAAATTTCATTTGCGAAAGTTCTTGCTGGAAATGATAAAAAATTAAGAGACAGAGGTGTGAAACGCCTTCGCAAGTGGCTTATGGCTCGCTCAAGAGGGGACACTGGTATGTGTTTGATGCATGTCATTAGATGAAATTCACCTTTTTCAACCAGATGAGATTATAACTTTTCTTTTCTCTCTGGATTCTTTGTTTAGTTGGTTCGATGATATATCAAATTTACGACAAGTCAACTTGTCAGATAAGGTTATGTTCTATAGTTTGGGAATGCTTAACATCATTGAACTATTATTATCACAGATTTATTTAACCTAGTTTTCTAGTTTCCAGCTTTAAAAAAATACTTCCTTCTTTATTTCTTACTTGATATTTGGGGGTTCCTGTCAATTTTCCTCATTTGTCATGCATATTTAGTACAGTTAATAATGTGTCCGTAACTCTCTCTATTTAGCATTTTTTAAAAACTATGTTTCCATCACAGATCTGAAGAAAGGAGATTTTAAACGATTATGGAAAGGTTTATTTTATTGTATGTGGATGGCTGACAAACCATTGTTTCAGGTATGTCCGTTAGTGTATTCATGAAGAACTTTACTTGTTGTTAAAATTGCTGACATTAATTATTATTTTGTAGGAAGAACTTGCTGAGACAATAAGCTCATTGATTCATTGCTTTCAACACACTGGTCCTGCTATCAAATTTATTGAAGGTTTCTTCATAACTATGTCTGCTGAATGGAAAGGCATTGACCAGCATCGCTTAGATAAGTTCCTGATGGTATGCTATCGTAATTCTTTCTATAAATAATCTGAAAATCATCTGTTGTAGGTTTTATTAATTCTGTATTTTTGTCTCCAAAGTTTGTTCGTAGGTTTCTCAGGCAATGTTTAGTGTTCATGAAACAGGAAGATTGGAATATTGAAATAGTTGAAGCAGTGTCTTCAGTTTTTCAAATGACTTTGTTACCTGATCACTTAAATCTTGTAAAGATTCAACCACCCTTAGGCCTTGTCATGCATTTTACAGAAATTTATTTAGAAGAACTGGCAAAGGTATAAAAATATATATGTATATAAATATAATTTCATAAAGCAACATAATTGTAACAGTATTATTTATTAAAATTGCTTGTGTGTGTTTTTTTTTTTTCTTGTTTTTTTCAATTTGTAGGTTTCTGGTGGGGATCTGGATGAAAGTGTGTTGTTGGTTGTCCTCAAACCTTTTGCTCATCATTTGGCTGCTGCTCGGGACAGTCGCATACGAAGTCACATTCGTCAGCATATTTTTATCAGGCTGCTTGAACAATCGTCTGTTGGCTTAGATTTCCAGGATAAATTTGCAGCATGGAGTAAGGTGTGTATATCCGTAATCTTTCCTTAAAAGTTTTACTTTTTTAGATTTCATTTTTAATGACAGTTCAACTCTTGGACTTACAGTTGGGTTTCCCTGGTGGAAATATTGATGTAATGGAGCGTGATGAAGATGAAATTGATGATGATGATGCTGTCGATGAAGAAAACGATGAAGTACTTCAAAATGCCATCAATGGCAAGGCTGCACTTGATCCACGGGCTGGAAAAATTGATGTTGAACTACCACTAATAAATTTTGATCCCAAAATCATTGTCAAATTCCTTGAAGAATTCAGATATAAAAAATTTACCAATGTTAAAACAAGGAAAGCTCTTTCAGATCTCATAAGTAAGTTTGCAAAACTATCAGAAGGTGACTACCCCCTTGGTATAAAGGAGTTACCTGAAATACCGGATGAAAGAATTGAAGATTTAACAGAAACCGCAGCAGAAGAACTTTGCGAGTTCAAAACCCAATTACAATTTGCAAACTCTGATGATGAAAATGAGGATGATGATGATGATTCAAAAGAGAATGACGAAGAAATGTCCCAGAAGCTTAAAAAGGATTTAAAGAGGAAAAAAACTATTACTAAGAAAAATACAGAGCAGAAGAAAGCGCGTATAGAGAAGAAGAAAGAAGATTCAAATGAATTGAATTCCAAAGTTAGCAAGAAAAAAACTAAAAAGGTGAAGGTTACTACTAAAAAGAATCTGAAGAAAGCAAAGCTTTTAGAGAAAAAGGATGAGGATTCAAAATCTGATGTGGATGCAGAGATGGAAAAGATTGCTCAGATTGAAATTTCACCATCTGTAAGTAATGAGCTCCCCAACTCAATTGTGTCAGACACAACCGGGGTAGCACCTGAATTAGCGACTCGTGCACTTTTACAACATCTTGCACCACATGTTGTTGGCTCCAAAAAGTTAAAAAGACGTGCATCTTGTGATGCCAAACTACAATCAACTTCAGAAGTTACAGTAGAAACAAATTCAGAGGTTAGTCCCTCTTCATCCAAATCTGATCATGGAAAAAAACTGAAGAAAAGAAAAAGTTTGGGCTGGGATGAGCCTTTGCAAGATGGGGAGTATGAGATATTTATTCCCAGAGAAAAAATTGTAGCTCAAAAGAAAAGACTTTCTGCTGCCAATGAATCTCTAACAACACCAAACTCCTCGGGTCTTAAAGTGAAGGTTTGCATTTTATCTTAGCTCTGTATTAATATGGTCATGATATCCAAGATGATTATCATCAATTATCTGTTGTTCCTTTCTCTGTTTAGAATCCTTTTGCTAGTCCTGCCCTCGGATCTAGTTCAAAAACACCTGGAAGCAGCAGTAAAAAAGTGAATTTTGTGCTGCAAAAAAATACTGCGCAAGGTATATAGAATTCTTTTTCTGCGTGCGTGGTTTCTATATGTAATGAAAGACATTCACCATGTGTTTTTGTTTTGTTCATGCAGCAACATCAGAGTATTTCAGAACTCTGAGAGAGAACCCTGAAATTCCTTATGATGCCAACAAAGAACCAAAGCGGAGTGCCCTTAAACCAAGTCCCTACAGCAGCCCAGTGAATCCCTTCTATAAACGTAAGCTTAAAATGTAATGATAAATTCTAGTCCTTATTTAATTCCCAGCAGTATATTTGTCCAAAAATTCTACAGACTATGAGTTTACATGTGTGTTAGTAAAGTGTCGCACAATCATCAATTTTTAAACAAAAAGTTTTGACACAAGGGTTTCTTTCTTTGCCATATATTTAGCACAATATTTAGGGAGTTTTTTTTACAGAACAGATTTTATTTTATTAATCATGTATAAAGAGCAATGTGAGCAATGTATTCAATATATTTGAAAGGGACATATCTTCTAAACAATTCAATTGTTTTTTGATGTATATTTTTCACAATAAAAAAAAAGAGACTTAAGTATTAAGTTATAAAACTGTTGATTTATAAAATATAGTGTAGAACGGTAAAGCACAACATAGCATCAATGCTATTTCACTGGAAAATCAAAATCAATGATCGTGCATTGTGACTTTTTTTTTGTCACAGTCTAAAATTAAGTTTTGGTCTGATCACATAAATATTAAAAAAATAGCAAAAATCACATTGATTATGAAACGGTACATAACATTACAAAGTCAAGTGTAACAAGGGTTCTAGCATGATATTAGCAACATCTCTAAGTAGTTAAACTAATCACAGCTTTAAGTTAATCACATCACATACGAGGAACCAATCATCCTGGAGTTACTCTGTCTTAATACTGCTTTACACACAACATATCATTCCATAAGCAAATCTTGCAATTGAATGATAATGGTACATTTCTTCTAGATTGCTAAATTTACCTAAACCCAGTATCTGAGCGTGGGTGACTCTCTTCAGTCATGTTGATATTTGTGTTTGTAAGGAACATCTAACCTCCTCTCACTCAATCACTATCATTTCTAGTTAAATATTGTCATGATTATCATTTTCTTCAGCTAGCGTATATGCATGTGGGTTGTAGAATTTGCGCATGATAACCACCACACTGCCACAGAAAAAAATATTATTAGAGCCTATTTTCTAATGTCTTGATTTTTTTTTAAAACAATTTGTTACTTACCCAAGTGCAACGCAAGAAACAGCTGATAAAGCGGCAGAAAACAGGTAGACTGCTCCTGGGAATGTGCTCATTGTGTTATTGTATAAAAATGTGTATGACAGCGCTGCTACAATAGGTATAGCTGTAACAAATGCTGATACAATAGCAAAAAGCTTTCCTGTGAAAATAAAATTTTAAAGACAATAAGTTACAGATCAAATTGATGTGAACCTAATTAAGGGTCTCATGGTCCAAAAAATATACCAATGTCTTTTTTGGGGATAGTGTCTGCCATTATAGCACGATTTAGTGGGCTGGTCATTCCACCAAAACCACCAACAGCCGAGCTTAAGTAGAGATACCTTAAATTACATAGATTATGGTTTAATATAGGTAATTAAGTAATTTAGTTATCAAAGACACTGCATGAATCAGATGAAATTCTCTTACCAGCCAGCATTTCCAAGACCTCCAATCAAATAACCACAGCATTTCAGAAAGTATCCAAAGCAGGAAAGAGGTTCATTAGGAAGTTTTGCCCACTTGCTAAAAATTACGGTGCCCAACAGCACACCAACTATATTTATTAACAATGCAGCATCAACATAAATTGAGAACTGTTTCACATCCCATGAAAATTTGTTGCGAGCAAATAGAAAAGCAGTGGATAAGGTTCCTAAAGAGAATGAAAAAAAAAAAAAAAAAAAAAAAAACAGAATTTTAAAATTAGCATGCTTACTTCCTAATATCAGTTTTACTTTAAGTGATGGTTATGTTCCTTTCACCTTCCATTGCCAGTAAACTCAACATTGAGACTGCTACAATGATTAAACGTATTGGTCTAGAATAACCTTCATGATGTCCAAAGCAGACACGAAACAGATCAGCAACTTGTTTGTAATCAAATAGAGCCTTCAGTCGCTGGCCAAGACTTGCCTGCAAATTAATTAAGATTCAATTTTTTTGTACTCTGCACACTATACATTTATGTCATCAGTAATACTACTGTCAGTACCTCCACATTTTTGATACTCTCTGGTGTGAAGAACAGGACGCACAGAAAGGCACACACACACATCCCAAGGCTTATGCCAAATACTGCTTCATATCCATGAGATGGAAACAAGCTAAATAGATACGGTGCTGCTGTGTTCCCACATAAAATACCCAAGTACAACATACCTTCTGCTAATGCCAGTCTGAAAAGAAAACAAGACTTAGTTGAAACTCTTTTTAAATCAACAGATTTTAAAATTCACGATTACTGGTTACTCTTAAGCTGTATTTACCTAAACGACAAGTCTTCTTTCGGAGACACATCAGTGATATAACAAAATGCCCCAGTAAAAAATATCATTGAACTACCAAATATGACAAGAGGAGTACTTGTTAGGATGACATACATTGGTGCTAGGTTGAACCAAGTAAAAAGAATGAGAAGTAGGAAGTTGAAACAATATCCTGCAAGAGAGGGGAAATTAATTGGTGAACTATGAATTTATTCAAGTGTAAAAGTGGGCTGAGAAAGCAGTACCGATTAGTGGTGCTAACATCAGTGGTTTTCGACCGTAGGTATCACTCCATGAGCCTATGAAAAATGACATGACAGCTGGTGGCACTGTTTCAAATATTAACTTGTACATTCCTATGGTGGCAACGTATGGCTGTATCTGCTTTTCATAAGGGCCCCCTGACTGTGATTCCATTTCAGTGCAATTGATAGGTAGCTTCATATATTCACAAGTTTTAATCATTAACAAATTTGTTAAAAGAATTCCTGTAACAAAAGTACAATAAATCAGATAACATTTTACTTAGTCATAACAGGAGCTCAAACATGCTGAAATTTTCTATTGGATACCTGACATATTTGATCCCATCATTGCTAGAAATATTGCTGGCTCTACAGTTAATCCAAGGAAACGTTTCCGACGCATCACAGGTTTTGATTGGTCTTGTGGTTGTCCATCACGGAAATTGTAGTCTGTGGGATCTTCTGATAATACAGGAGATGAATCCATTTTGAAGAACTATACCTGAAATTAAATTTTAATTTCTTGCAAAATGAAAGTAGCATCACTCAGTAGCATAACTCTTAAATACACGATTTGTAATGAATGCATTAATGTTTGGACAGTACATTAGTTAAAATTTATACATTTTTTAAATACAGAATAATATGCAATGGAGAATCTAGCCGTGCCATTTTCACGCATGTCACAATTCAAAATGTCTTTCACGAAAGGTTAATACCTCAATTTTATGTTATGTCAGAATTTGCTAATGAGCTAACTTACTCTGAACTCATCTGGTTAGTTTTGAAAATGTATCTGCACCCTTTCACTACTTTCCATCTTTTTCACTCACAAACTTTTCTCTGTGACTCAACTCTTTCTGTTTTCTTTGTTATGGAGGCAAGGTGTGTTTATTTACGTACGTTTACGTCTGCGCAGCAGACGACACGTTACTTGACAAAGCAGACCATAGTTTAGGTTAGGTTAACGAACACAACTTAAGAATGAAGAAGAAATTGCTTTTAGTTGTCAAAAGGTTCTAAAAGAAGGTTAGAAATTAGACAGTTACAATATGATTATAGATCACTGTTGTTGCTATCCACGGCAATGTGAATACTGGAGTCAAAAATATGGGGAAGTTTGTCCCATGGCGTGCAAGGTATCGTCCCTAGTCCACACACTGTACACAATAACAATAGATCTCTCTGAAAGCGATTTGTCTTTCAAGGACTTTCAATGGAACATACATAGCCACCCTCAACTTTTTAAATATTGCTGCCAGTTTCATGATGCTTGTCTCTTACAAGCTTGGGCTCAATATCTAGCTCACGGTTATAATCAAAAACAAACAACAATTCCTACCTCTGTCACTTACACTTCACACGAGGATCTCCTCTCTGATTATCCTTTGACTTTGACACTCATGCCGCGCCGGCAGAAGCGTTTACGTAACTCGCCTGCCGTGTTCCGTGTATGGCGTGTATCCAGGTATCCTGCTGCTGGCCTCTGATGACGATCGTTCGCTCACGTTTGTCGATAGCGCGCCGCTTTGTCGAGCGCGGCAGTTATTGCGACGTCATATTCGGCTGCCTAGTCGTGTCAGACTAAGTGTCCAGGACCTCAACGGATAGTACACCAGTACATTAGACACGACTGGGTGCGGGTATATTAACAGCGGGCATGTCTTCAGTAAGGTACACTTAGGGAATTCCCCTGTCTCCACCGAGGACAAGAAATAAGCGCTATGGTCCTCGTGGAAGTATGGCCTCGCGGACGTACTCGAGTTACAGGTCGTGTAGCAGCAAAGTGCACTAGGCCACACCAGTAAGATTGTCGCCCCCGCGGTATCACAAAGTCTTTTGAGCCCTGACATTTGCAGTGATAAGGGAACCTTGAGGCCCGTCTTCCTGAATGCACTTTGATAAGAGACAACAGCACAGAACTGTACATAAGATAATATGAACAATGTTATGAACAGATGATTAACTCTTTATGGCAGGGATGTCAAGAATGAGCTGCGCATTACATTCATCTTTATTTATTTTTCATTTGACATCTACATAGCAGTTACACATCAAGAACAAAAAGTACAGTAAAATACAATTAAAATCACTTAAATAAAATGTAAAGGGGAACAGCAAATGATATTAGTACTAAGTACACTTACTTATCACATAAAATTCTACACAATACCTACTTGACATTCACTAAATGAATCAGGATATCTTGTTCATTACTTTTTGAAAAACACAATGGACACGGAGATAAATTATCTTGACCTTTGTGTCTACTAAGTACATGTTTTTGGTTTTATTTATTTATTTTTCCTTTTATATTTGATTTTCTTTTAATTCAAATACTTAAATATGTGAGGATATTTAAAAGACAAACAATGTCAAGTAAAATGCTCTTAGAGCACAATGAAGAAAACATATGAGCTAAAAACTTCAGTTCAAACAGAAGTAAATATGATTTGGACAATAGATACTTAAGTACCTTGTACCTTAAATTTAATACAATAAATTCCAATTAACCACTGACTTAAAAGTATCACAATAAGAGATCAACAAACTACCCCAGCAAATTTATTTCTACAAGTGCAGCTTCAGTCTTTGCACCTTCTCCGCAAAAGTTACCAGCCACCCTGTTAGAGGTCCTGAACATTTAGATAGAAAAAGTCTAAAATAGACTTAACATGCACTAAAAGAAATTCAATATTTCATATTTTCAAAATGATATGCTACAGTAGTGCACAACCACAAGTTAGAAAATACAGCTCAGATAATGTTTGATTCCATAAGATTGGCCTCACCCAAGAATCCTGTTACAAATGGATGTTCTAGGGCTTGTGCTGCAGTAATGCGAGTATTTGCATCTAGATCCAAAAGACGTGCTAAAAGATGATAAGCTGAATCAGGAAAGATGTCATCAGATGTTTCCTTATTATTGACATCCTTGGAGTTGATCAGTAGAGCATTTGACTCTTCTTTTAAACAAACACAACTGTCAGGGTTTCCAAGGGGCTGACAGCAGTTTTGACACCTGTCAAGTTAAATAAAAACTGTTAGAATGCAATGAATCAAAACTGTTTAAGACAGATCAGATAGATATATCGTATATTACTTTTCTACTGAGGTGGAACTGGCAGATGATACAGGACTGCTTTTCTCTTTTCTTCTTTGCCTCATACGAGTGCACAGTTTTTTCAGGTCAAGAGGTTGAGTAGGCTGGCTGCATACAACCATTCGTGCTGCAACAAAATAAAAAAAATAAAACTAAAAACAATCCTGAAGAAAAACATTAAGGCATAAGACACAACATTGAAAATTCACTAACCTAATCGCTTGGCAGTTTCCTTTATTTTTTCAGTTCCAAAAATGGTCATGATTTCAGCTAATGCTGTCAAGTCATCTGGAGACCGGAAAAAGGGATAGCATCCACTCAGAATGCACAACAATATGACTCCTACAGCCCACATGTCAACAGCTGATAAATGGAGAAATAAATATTAGTTTGGATGTGCTACTAAAAAACTGTGAGTTGACAATATAGTTTCACAATAATAACCTGTAGTTTGAAGTTGGCTGCGAAGTAAAACTTCTGGGGGTCTGAACCCAGGAGTACCAGCCCGAGGAGCATTGTGAGGCTTTTTAGATAAACATTTTGAGCACACTTGAAGCCGACCCACACAATTGCAAAGTGGAGATGATGGGGTACTTGGGCGATAAAGAGATCCAGTAGCACAAGGAACTTGAGGTTTTGCAAAAATTACTTTATGATCTTTGTCGCTTTTTTTATCACCATGATGTGCTTGAGGTGCTTTGAGAGTTCGAGTCTCACTCGGTGTGACTGGACTCATTTGTTGCGATTTTACCTGAAAATCATATTTCTGGATAGAGAAAAAACATATCACCCTACAATATCTCAAGCTCCTCCTTTCTTTGAAACTCACCTGAGAGTTCTGAACCCTTACAATACTAGACCCAGGAACATCATCTTTGACATTCCCTGGAGCCAGAGTACGAAATTCTTTGCCCATACCATTCTGGTCCACAGGTGACAGAGTAAGAGGATCAGGAAGACGGGAAAGTCCACCAACAGGCACTGAGCTTGGTGAACATCTTGCTGTATGGTTTGAGGGGTGCATCAAAGGCATACGCGATGATAAAGTGGCAGACCTTTTATCGTCTGGTACATCATCAAAAGTAATTTTCCTCTGGAGAGAGCTCTTTTGACCAGACTTAAAGATGGAGCTAGACGGCCTTGAGTCTGATTTAACCTTGTTTTTCCGTAAATCCAATGCTTGCCGTTCATTTGCTTGCATTTTTTCAAGTTCAGCTTGAAACGTATTAGTGGTACTGAATGGAGGTATATCTCTTTTCAGCTCCATTTCTGCATATTTTAAGGGAGAAATATTTTCATCATTTTTTTTATTTTTCCGAGGAGTCTTTCTTCCTTGGGGTGGATCACGAATATCTTTAGCAGGAGACTTTGTGTTAATTGTGCTCATCCCAACAGTTGATGTTCTCTGGGCGGTTGAACAGTTTGTAATATTTTGAAGCCTTTTAGCCCTGCTGGAAACAAATTGTGGGACAGACTTCGTAGCAACTACATCTCTGCGGTTTTTCTCAGGAGTCTTAATGATATTTGTAGAATTGTTTAGAGCTAATGCAGGTCTTTTGGCTGGGTTTTCATGCACTCCATACAAGCCATCTTTTGAGATCTGGACACAAAATGAGAGGCACCGGTAATCATTTTTAAAAAAACAAACAAGAAGTAGATCTTACTGGGGCTCAAATAATAATGTACTCACATCAAGAGGTTCTTTCTCTCGCTTTCTTTTACGTGTCTCTTCAACGGGTCGAGGGCTGGAGGAGATTTTAGAAGTCTCTTCAACAGGCTGAGACAGACCAAAGTCTACAAGGAGAAATCTAGATGGGAAAAAGTAAATAGTAGAATGCACACAGAGGAAAAGAAACAACTGTTGTCTAAGTAAAATGCCTTACTGCTTGTTTTCCCTATCATACAGGAAGTTGCTGGGTTTGACATCTCGGTGAATGATATTGAATGAATGAACCCGACGCAAAGCAAGCAAGAGTTGTTTCATGTAGTTCCTAGTTTCTGCAACACCCATGTCCATAACATATTCCTGTTGAAGAAAAAAAATCAAATTATAAGTTTACAATTATTAAAGCTAGCATTAGTTGTCAGTAAAACACTTACATGAAATCTTTTATGTGGCAAATACGGCATTATAAATGCTATACTATCATTAAATCGCATACAAAAATGTACTCCAACAACATTGTCAGTCCCACTGTAAAAAAACAAAAAACAAACACACATTTAAGAAATGTTGATGCAATTTCCTTAGGGTTTGAAGTAAGTCATTTTCCATCATACTGAAAATGTTACTAATTCTTACCCAATATCTTGTAAGCATTTAAGTTCCCGTTCAGCTCTTGTGGGATGAGTTGTTGGGATTAAATGTTTGATAGCATATTGACGACCAAACAGTGAACTATTTTGAGGAACATCCTTTAAACTTGCTGCAAACACAGAACTGAATGTGCCTTCCCCAATCTTTCCATGCACCTTGAAAAACTGTTCTATTACAGGAATGCTACTAAGTAGGTAATCAATCTGTGCTTGTTCCTCTGAAAGGTTGTTGAAAGTAACAATATTGATTACAAAATACTTGAAAACAAAACCTCCCTGGAAGATTCAGTCAATAAATATATTAGAAACTTACTAAGTTTCTTTGTGCTTCTGCTTGTATTGGCTGGATGAGATCCCTCAGCAGTATCACTATCTTTCTCAACTTTGATACCTCCGTCACTGGCTCCACCGTGTTCCAGAACCAAACCATCATTACGAGAGTATGCAGTAGAATGCTTCAGAGAGACCTCATTTCCACAAGCCTGAGAGGATTCTCCTCCATACAGATTTTGGGAGGCCATATCCGCATTTAAGTTGGCACCAAGTTGGTGATGTGGATAAGATGTTAAAACTTCCATTGTATATGTTCTCTTCAGACTTTCAGGGCAATGTAGCGGTAGCCTTCTGCGTCTTCTGACCAAGGAAGAAACAAAGGTTTATTAAATAAATTGCTACATCTATTTGACGTTTTATGTCAACAATATGGGTGTCAAATATATGGTAATCACCCACTAAAATAAATGTAAAAAATATTGTATTGACAAGGCATGAGTAGTGACAAAAAGAGGTCAGATGTTCAAAGATGTTAAATGCAACTAGTACAAAACTATATAAAATATTTGCACCATTAAGACCACAAAGAACAACACTCGTTTAAAACTAGCTGTACCTAAAGAACTAAGGGAGGTGAAACTGGCAAAAAGGCTGAGGCTAGACGGTAAAAGCCAATGTACTTTGTTTGCTGTGTTTACAGTGATAACCATAACCTTATCTATCATCACGTATACACGAAACAAACATTAAGAAACTTTCCTCTTTCACTTGGTTTCCGATTATTCCGTAAAGCACAAAACGGCGGACACAAGCCAACTCACCAACGGGCTTCAAAACATGCCGAAATCTTGAAATTTACTCGTTTTGTTAGTAGTTTGCCGCGTCAAGAGGGTACAAATCCCGCCCGCCGGCCCGGGTGCTCGTCGTCCGTAAAACCCGCCAACTGCAACTGGTGCGCCGCGTCACGGGCCCGAAGCGACCCGAAGGGCGCCCGAGGGCCCGAACCGCCCGAACATCACGACCCGAAGCAACCGCGCCCGCGCGCCGCCGCGCCGCCGGCAACTGGGGGTGGTTGCGAAGGGAGGGAAGTAAAAGGGAAGGGATGAAGGGATGGGGCGATCCCGAGGACCCAATATTCCCGCCGCTTCACGCATTCTCGAAGTTTGCCCCTAATGTGACCGTCCCATGCACATTCTTTTCTTATGCGAATCTAATGCCTTATACCTCGAGTGAGGACCAAAGTACAGCAACCAGTTGTCCCTAACTGTAATTGTACACTGTGGGAAGGAGGGGGTCAGGGGTCACGCCGTGTTCCCATGGCAACCTGTGGGGCCGTGGTTTACTCTCCCTGCACATTGCACATTCACGCACACCGCCATCCCCGGCACTTCTCGAGCACCATGCGCGTGCCCTACACGGTCCCGCGAGAGACCCTCCGCACGTATGACTGCTCCAGGGAGGTGCGGCGGCTCGCCGGGGAGTTCCGCCGGCGCCTCAAGACTGAGAGTGTAGCCTGGGACAAGAACAACGCGCCGACTCTCAAGCACCTCGCTGTCCAGGCGTTGGTGCAGAACTTCAGCAGTGAGTGCCCTACCACAATGACTGTCTCTGCTGGGTTTCACGTCCAGGACTGCATCTGCACCCCTTTACAGGCCGCACGGCGCTGAACACCCTGCCCATTGAGGATTTCCATCGCCTGCTGGAAACGCTGCCGACCACCGTACCGCTGGAAATCAGTGTCCCTTTAGTGCCTGATGGGGAGTTCTGGAGGCGGCTGGCTACCCATACCTGGCCCTCAGTGAGTGAAACGACGCGTGACTCCCCGACAACTATCAGCATCAGCACCAGGACCTGCTCTGACTGATACCGTGCTTCCCAGACAAACAACGTGGTGGGCGAGCACGGCGGCTCGTGGCGGCGCCTGGTGCTGGAGCGGCGCCTGCAGCACGAGCTGGAGGCCGCGCTGCCGCCCATGCTGGACGAAGCCCTGCGGCTGGCCAGGCTGGCGGGCCCTCACGTGCGCCGGGTGCGGCTCGACCAGCTGCTGCACACCGCCGGCCACCCCGCGGCCTCGGACTTCTCCGCGCCCCATCTCGCCCTGCACGGCGGCTGGACGCCGGACGTCACCTACGAGCGCAGGGAGCTGCACATGTTCGACTCGGAGCTGGACGCGCTCAAGGAGGACCTCTGCAACGTCTTTGGTTGCCTTGTCAACCTGGAGGTGAGGGGGGGGGGGGAGTACCGCCCCGCACCGCCCACACTGGAACTTACCTCGCGGTGCGCCGTCTGCTGCGTAGCGACGCGCGCCGAGTGGTGGGAGTGACGCGGCCTTCCCTTTTGCAGGAGCTGGACGTCATGTTCGGCATGCACGACTTCGAGAAGAACCTCTCCGAGCCGCCGAACCCAATCAAAGTGGCGAGCTGTCAGGCCCTGGGCAAGACTCTGAGCACACTGCCCGTCTTTCGCCGACTCAGGTGAGAGTGTAGGTCAGTGGTGCGTGCGCCGAGGAACGCTGCCCTCATCAGAACACTCTGCAGCGCCCTGCCGTCGGGCGCGCGCGCGAACAAGAGCTGCTGACGTTCAACATCGCGGAGCGCGAAACACCGCGGCGGCCTGCTGCAGCGTGTAATTGTTTTGTGGACGCAGGGTGCGCCGCAGCCAGCTGCACCTGGAGAAGCTGGCCGGGCTGCTGGAGCCGATGCACGGCAGCACCACCCTTGCCGAGCTGGACCTCAGCCACTGCTACCTGGGCGACAAGGGGATGCAGGTGGTCGCGGCCTTCCTCCTGGACCAGGCTTCGCTGCGGGTGCTGCGTGTGGCCAACAACAAGTTCGGTAGGCTACGCCACCTCGGGGTCACACGGGGCGTGGTGCCGGGGCTCCTCACGCAGCTCTCTGTCGTTGGTCCAGGTGCTCGGGGCGCGACGCACCTCGCCAAGTCCCTGCTGCACAAGACGTGCCCGCCGCTGGCAGAACTGGACGTGAGCCTCAACTCCATCGGCGACGTGGGCGGCCACAACATCCTGATGGCGGCGGTGCCGCGCGACCAGCGGCTGCCGCTGCGCGACCCGGCGGAGGACGAGCACGTGCGCGAGATCATGGCGGCCGAGGAGAAGGAGCGTCTGCGGAAGGCGGCCACCGAGGAGGAGCCCTCGCACGAGGGCATCACCATCTTCCGCGGCCTAGTGCAGCGCGCCATCGCCGGCGAGCTGGTGTCCTCCCCGGCGCCCGTCACGGCGGCCGAGCCGGAGCAGGAGTACTTCGACTGGGAGGTGGAGCCGGAGGAGCAGGCGCGCCGGCCCTCAGCGCTGCTCGCCTCCATCGTGACCGAGGCCCACCACGTCCACCGCGAGGAGGCGCAGGCGGAGGAGGCCCGCGCCGAGGAGGAGCGACGCCGCAGGGAGGCCGCGGCCAAGGCGGCCGAGCGCTGGGAGGGCTGTCCCGAGCGGCTGCAGGCGCTGGGGCTGTCGGCGTGCAGGCTGGGCGCCGCGGCGGGCAGGGCCGTCGCGCTGCTCCTCGCCAACAACCGCGCCCTCAGCAGCCTCAGCCTCGCCAACAACCACCTCGGACAGGTAGGTGACGACGACGTGGACCGCGCAAGTTCTGCCGCCGTGGACGTGTAAATGAGACGGATGCCCCCTTACTTTCCCTAGAAGTATCCCCTGTGATCGACCGCCCCAGATACACAAGCCCTCCCCCAGCGCCTGGACCTTTTCATCCTTCACGCCACGCGCCGCAGGTAGTTTTACATACGTGACACCCACCCACTCCCCGTACTGTGTCTCTTTCCTGACGCTCGCGCGCCTGGGGTAGGCAACCCAATCGACACTTGCGTACCGCTGGCGTTGCCTACGTCTCAGGCTGCTCTCTGACTCTGCTGGGCAGGAGGCGTGCGGCAGGGTGGTGTGCGCGCTGCAGGCCAACCCCCGCGTGCTGCAGCTGGACCTGCGCATGTGCGGCGCGAGCCTCGCCGACCAGACAGCCCTGGAGCGGGCGCTGGCCGCCAACAACGCCGCCCTGCGCCAGCCCCTGCCGCTGCGGGACATGCTGCAGGTGGGTGACCATGGGTGACCATACCCCGCCCCGTCCCATCGCAGCACATCCACTCCGAAACCATTGCGGCCTTGTCCGACAGGAGCGGGAGGCCGAGCACCGCCTGCGCCTGGCCACGACGACCGAGGTGTTGGGGGCGCAGTGGGTGCGCGCTCAGGGCCTTCCCCGCGGCCAGCGCAGCAGCATCGCAGTGCCCAGCGGGGCCGACGGCGTCCTGGGAAGTGACGCCGCCACCTCCGCAGGGGGTTCCTTGTCCTTCTCAGGGATCGGCTCTACGGGCGGCTTCAGTGGTCTGAGCCAACAGGAGAGAAGCCAGAGTGGAAGCGTCAGCGTCGGGGGAAGTGCAGCCAACGGCACCCGCGTCGCAAGCGAAACGCGGGCACCGTCGTCCACGAAGGGGTGAGAGGGAAAAGGCCGAAAGGGGCGGTGGAGTCACGTTGTGTTACCTGCCATAAATGTGATGCGACTGTCCATGTTCATTGCAGGCTGAAAATTTCGAGTAGTCAGCATGGAAGTGGTAAAGGCAGTCTGAGATCTTCCAAAAAACTGGCCGAGTCATCCACCTTATCACGTGAATCACATGCTTCTCAAGCTACCAAGAGTCTAAGTAGTTTATCTGCAAGATAAACAATTTAACACGTCAGGTGTGGCAGAGGCAATCCCATGTTATTATAAACCATGGTGGGTCTGCGGGTCATGCCGCACTCAAGATGTGAAAAAATTCTGTGTTCTGTACTACTTAGATGAGAGGTAAAGCTATGATAATGAAAAAAGTAAAGTTAAGATTTTAGACATTTATTGCTCAAACAAAAAAACCTCGAGATTACTTATAAGTTTTACAAATCTCAAGTTGACTAACTTACAGCAGTTTACATTAAAGTATATGGTATAAAATAAAATAAATGAAAAATATAGTGTGTAGGGGACAACAATGATAATGTTACAGTAATATTTTTACAGTTATCTCTTGACAAGTCTTTTAAGAGATAGATTGATACCTTACATAAAAATATGATTTAAAAAATTTAACAACAATTCCTGCAGATATAACCATTAGAGAGATCATACCTACAAAAAAAATCAAAAGAATCTCTGAATTAAACAAAAAACAAACCAACATTAAAACACAAGGTAAGTATTCCAAGACATACTCACACATCAAACGAACACGAAGCACAAAAAAGATCCCGGCATTTGGAACAGGTTTGAGCACATGATGAGCATAAAGATGAATCACAGAAAGAGCAGCTCTGCATGTCTGAAGGGTTCCACAAAGAGCATTTGGAACAGGGAACATTCATTTGAAGAGGAACCACCTACAATCAAAAGTTAAAGGTGATGAGATATTTAAAAACACTTGATCTGGTGAAGTATTTAACAGCTAACTGGGTAGAGAGGAATAAGTTATTATATTTTGGTGATGCTAGGTGATTGATGAAACATTTCTCATATTGAATATGTGCACGCCCGCATCATAGCTACAGGATACTTAACAGAATTAATCATACCTGATCAACAGAAGATGAGTGCAGGTGTCCTTGAAGTGTCAGTTGCATCTGTTTCATTGATGAACCTTGACTAGAATTGGTTGACAGTGATGTATTATTCACTTTGGGACTTCCTAGAACTGACTCAGCTGGAGGAGTCGTTAAGGACTTCTTTGCTCCAAGAAAGAGGAGATCTTTAGTCTTGTCTGTCAGAAAATGGATAATGGAAGACATAGAAAATTAGAGACACAAGGCAGTGCATGTGCATGTAGAGAAATGGAAACGAAATAACATCAATCTAACGGAACAGGGCAGAAACCTTTTTCTTGGGCCTAATTTCAAGATGCCCAATAGACTAAGGTTATGAGAGAACTTACCGAAAACAAGCTTCATATGCTGATCACTCATGACACCGGCAGCAATTTCTTTCTGACGAACATGAATCTTTACTTGAGGGTTCATGTCATCTGCGAACGGGCAAGCCCTCTTAACCATGATTAGGGGTGAATGTAAAGTGGCAAACATTAAACATTAGATGACAGAACGGATATCTGACGACACGACAACAACGAACGACGACGAGACGATATAGAGGAAGGGGGCTATTCGCGCCTAAATGGTATCATGTTTACCACCTGAAGAACAATTTCATGCAGACTTTGATTAAAATTAAAAACCACAATCAATACAAAAATTTATTAGCAACAAAATTTCGAAGCAAAGAAAATGAATCATAGCTTAATTTTGGTTCAAACAAGCGCATTTGATTCGATAAATTGTGACTATTTTGGATCTTATGTTAAAACTGGAAACATATGGCAACTGGCGCCACAACCGCTGCAACGACAGTAACGATAGGAGAGATGCAAAATGGCTGAGGAAGTGCTCCTAGAAATTTTGGAAGGAAATATTCCTCTGGAAGAAGTACTGGTGTGGATTTCCAATGATACAGTGAGTAAAAGACGCTTTGTTCTTCCATAGCACTATAATTCGTGTTGTCAAAGCGTTGCAATCGTTTTAACTGGAAAGAACTGCGCAAGTGTAGGTTAGGTTGCACAGTGTTTTTGCATGGCATGTTTTTTGAGGAGCGTTTTGTTTACCTTTTGTCCCACTAAGTTCACATTGATAGGTCTGTTTTATTCCACGAATTTCCATCTGCATTTTCATGTTTCATATCACACCTCTTTGTACATGTTATGAGTGGACAATAGTTTCATGGTCGATCTTAAATCTAGCTTAAATTATTGCAGTAATACATTTATTCTTTGTGTTGCAGTGTGGCCCAGCACTTCAAAACAAGATAAATTGCAGTCGAAGTGATCTAGTACTGTGTATTTTAAATCTTTTACGGGATTCTACTGCTAGGTGATTAGCCTCGACTTTTGTTAGAATATTAATTCAACTGTAGTCACTCAAAGTCACTGTTTTTAATTTTTCTTTAACAGAGCATGGTTGCCGTCAAATACATTTCAAAGTCCCCTAAAGTCTGTCTCCAAATCAAAATTTAATTCATCGAATAGGCGTTCTTCACCATTGAGGTCATTGGACAAAAAATCTGCTCGCCGTGTTGAGCTGTTTCCCAAAGTTGAAGCTCAGTCTTCTATTAAAATAAACCACAATGAGACGGATTCTTATATCAGCAAAGGAGAATCCTGGAATACTGGAACTGGAACCTCACTGGCTAATTTTTCAACCCCACGCAAAGACACATGTGGCAAATGGCCCAGTAGCCGCCCTAAGGGGGAAGAAAATCCCTTCTTAGTGGCTGAAGAGAATGGTCCCATGACATCATCTCCATTTTCAACTACTGATGTGACCTTAGAGTCCTCTCCCCAGTTCACCCCTATAAACAAAAGGGTCCAAGCTTTCAAATCAGCTGAAAGAAGATCACCACCAGTCCCTGTTAATTTATCAGATAATCAGTTTAAAACTCCTACTAGAAGCAATGGTGTCTGCTTGGGGGACTTCCTTATCAAAAGCAGTAAAAGTTCGCAGTCAAAGAAACGTTTTTCTCAGAGTCCAACAACAAGTCCCATCACATCCCAAGATGTATCACCTATAGAGCTTGTGAACAGCAATTCCTTGAAAAAGAAACACAGACGCCGCATCAACCCAACTAAAGTTTCTTTAGAAAACCCACCATCTTCTCCGCAGTGTGGTAAGTATTGCGTTCCTTTCTCTTGTACTTTACATTACGTAGTTTTTGAAACACCTAATTTTTAAGTATGTTACATCTAATTGTAATGTTTGACAGGTTTCCAAAACATACCGCCGTTTGGAACTGCTAGTGGCAATGTACCAGAGACCACACTATTTCAAGCTCCAGTGAGCATTGAGCCTGTTGGAGCTTCTCATAGTTTTTCTGAAGAACGAAATCTTCTAAAACAAGAACGCTTGAAATTGCAAAATCTTGGAGAAAGCACCATCACCCAAGCCGCAACAGCCAATTCTGGTGGTTCCTCTAAAGTTGCATTACCCAAAATGGTTGTGGTTGCTGATCCAGCAAAAGTCACTTATTTTGAACAGCTTTCAAAAATTTCTGAGATATACAGTTGTGTTTTGAATGCAAATCTCATCCCAAATTTGATGAGTGAGTTATACTTTGTGGTTTCACTCCTTGTAATACGCACTGATTCAGAAGTAGAGGAAAAAGACAGTGCAATGTCAAATTTAGAGGATCATGTCAGTAATGTTTCATTAGAGCCTAAAGATGGTGATAAGCCTGTTTTTGACTCAGTAGATGAGTTTCTAAGCCCAATCAAAAAGAAAAGGCTTCCTCTTAAAGAAATGTGTGCCAATCACTATTTCTACTCTGTTCACAATTGTGTATTTTTTGCTACACATGTGCTTTTAAATCAAATTAATGTTCTTTGCAACTTGGATCGGATCACTTTAAAATTTTTGTTGGATAGTGAACGCATTGCTTTATTTTCACCTGAACTGAAGAAAGAGCTGTTTTCATTGTACTCAAGCTGTTCATCAAAAAATAGTGTTCCTCAAGGATTGGTGTCCATCAAAGCTGTTGCCAATGTTTCATTTCAGTCTGAAACTGATAACAGCTCTAATTTTCCATCAGCACAATGCTTCAGTAATTTTCGCAAGTATGCATTTTAGGGTATATTTTTATGGGTTGCTTTGCCTCATACAAAACTGTTCTTTAATCTAAAAGACCTACTTTATATTGCAGACAGCGAGATGGCTTCTATGAGCTTCTAAGAGTATGGGAAGCAAATCATTTAAAACAAGGTTGGTGTTTTGCCACTTCCCTTGGGAGCAGGGTTCGCAGTGTGGTACAACTGTGCAGTGATCCTGTAAATCTGATGCATTTTGCAAGGCTCTTTCGCCTTCAGCTTATGTCTACTGTTAGTGGAGGGTCCAAAAATTCAGTAAGTATCTCTCTAGTACCTTTGAATATTTTGTTTCCTGTGTAGGGTCAGATTGTAATGTCAAATTTCACTGTAGGATGAAGGATTTGAAAGTTTGCAATTTCTTGAAGAGCTCAAAGGTGTGGATCCTGAGAAATTAAATAGGCTTCGAGACCGATTAGTAACATCATATAAATCTAGTGGCCCTAGACCAGCTCCAGCCTTTCCTGGTCCACAAGAGTTTTACCGGGACTTTATTATCTCATCCTCTCATTCATCATTTATTCAACACCTTCAAGATAGCATCATTTCTCACCTTCTTGAACTAGACCAGACCTTATTCTTAGCTTCTGATACAGAAGACTCAGGTTAGAATCTCACTGCAGTTTTCCATTGATTTTTAATTTAAAAAAAAATTAACCTTTTGATGTTAATGAAGCATATTTTGAATTTGATTTTCAGACCTGACGGTTGATGGGACAACTAGACAAAATTACCTATCTAGTGTCATCAGTATGCGTTTATTGGCAAAGTTTCTTGGTCTAATAGTGTTCTTGCCCTATAGCAGATCAGAATCTAACTTGCCTCAAAATATTTTGGACACAGAAGTTTTGGTTAGGTCCAAGGTTTGTTCACATATCTATTTAGTTTCTTTTAATGTGACATGAGCATATTTATACATATTTTTTATTTTATTGTAACTAACTTTTTTGTTTTAGGTCATGCCACCTGTTAGCATTATGAAATGCATTACTGAGGCACTCAAAACTCAAAGATTAACTGTAACAATACCATGGGTGGTTAAATTTTTAGGAATGATGGACTCTGTGTCCTGTGCTCTTCCTGTTTATCAGGCTGCTCTTCAACTTCTCCTACATTTGTATTCAGCATTAAGGCAAGGGGGTTGTGGGGAACTTTTTGGGAAAAAAATTGTGCTGCCTCCCCAAAATGTGTTGCTACTACGTCTCTCTCTAGGTTGGCTATTTGAAGCACCATTCATTCAGGAGAATTTCTTCTTTTCTTGGTGTTTTAATTTGGATGAGTCTCTTACATGTATGTATTGAGTTGTTTATAATTACCTCATCTTTGCTTATAGCGTTTCTTACTTTGGATCTTCTATTTTGCAGTAATGACATTGGATGTAGATACTTCTCACTCAGAACATTCTTTTCGCGCACTGGAAACAAGTGATATTCTCTCAGTTTCTTCTACCACAACCCCCCCAGTTGATGCCTTAAACCTTGTTGATTGCGAGGTTTTGTATGCCCTCTGCCCATTTTTACTGGAGCTAAGAGCACTAATGGCGTCAATACCTTCGGACTGTGCATTGGGTGGGTCTGTTCGCCATATAACTCCAGTTTCAGCTGGCTCAATGTTATCAGCTTCATCTGACCTTTCTGGCAAACAGCTTGAAGTAAGGAAATCTGAACACTTTTATGCTAGTACATATCGTGCATATCAATCCAATCATACCCACTGTAAAAAAAACTATCAAAGCTCCAATTATTAAATACAGTGTGTTTTTGTTCTTTTCATTGTACACAGCTTAAGCTTGAGGACAGTTTCTTCCATGGGCTTCCTGCCTCTGTTCATAGAACAGTTGAGTTTGTAGTTGAAAGGGTGACGTCATCATGTGTGAAGTACATTTGCAATATCTGGCTTCCTGGCTTAAAGCAAAAAGGACTTTTAAAGTTACGAGATAAAATTAGAAGCTATCGATCTGATCCAGATTCAGAAATAGATAGCTCCGCAATCCAGGTACTTGTTCAGTTCTTTTTTTTGTGGTCCTCAAACTTTATTGGTATTTAAATTTTAAAATTTTGTTTTAGAGTGAATTGAAAAAAGAAATCGCCACCATAGTGGAGCAAGTTGCTCTTGATCTGAAGGCTAGATGCCGTTTTGGTGTTGGCGAGTTCTGTTCAGCAAAGTGCAAAGGGGCATTACTGTCACTTCTTCCTGAAGAATCTTTAAGCATGCCTGTATGTGATATGTGTGTCAGTATAGCCTCTAGGATGAGTGAGGAGCGTGTTATAAATTGGATGCAAAGTCATGCCACCCTGAGTAAGTTTTTTTGATGCTGATATTTATGCACATCAGGGTATTTCCTTTTTGTCTCTAACCACATTAATTATGAGACTTGCATTTTTTAGGCCTGTACAGTAAAGATCTTCAAACTGAAGTGGAAAAATATCTCAAAAATAGAGAGAGGATTGAAACTGTAGCAACAGCTAAAACCTCTCATGTAGCTCCAGGTGCCAATGCTCTCTGGAAACATGACGATTCCGCTCCCAGTCCATGTGCTGTCCTGCAACCTCTAAAGGTTTGAAACCTCAAAAGTTCTATTTTATTCTATCTATCTTTCTAATTCCTTGATGTATACTTAGTCTATTTCTGTCTTTAGTTGATGGTATGTGATATATTAAATGGACAAGATGTTTCTAGAGAAGAGGTTTATAACATTCTTGACAAAATGGAATTGTGTGTAACCAGAAGACAAGATGTTGTCCCAGCTGCTGAAAGAATACTTGCACTTTTGTCCGTTGATTTAGTGATATCGCTGGGTAATTATACATTTTTATATTTCGCTATATTGTATTTATGGGGAATTTGAGTAACTGAATTGTTTTCTCTCTCAGTTTGTCACAACCCTCGTCTGGTAGACTCATCTCTTCTCTCCCGACTTATCAGCCTTTGGAAGTTAGACGCCCTAAGACCTGTTGAAGATGGATTAGCTCGCTTGGTGTGTCCTCGAAATATGCTTTTGCTTGCACAGTCAAGTCATCCTACTAGACTCGTCTGGGAGAAATTGGCTGAGGTAGTTGCTGCAGTTTTAAAAGCCAACTTAGTTACACCAGACTTAGTAGAAAATCAGTGTCTAGCTATTATGCAACAAGAATGGCCTCAGGTAATTTTAGTATTTCATGAAATGACACTTAAAATTTGTCTTGGGAGTAAGATGTTGAAATATGCAATAATTGTCTCTCTTTTCAGAACATTCTCCGCTGCTTTGCCATGTGTATGAATGAAGTGGTCCGACAGTACCAAAAGCAGAAGGATGTAGATTATAAATTTGTACTTTTACTTGAATGGCTTGCCGAAACTATGGCACAAATGGATTATTTTCCTCATCTCTAGCTTTGACTGAGTTGAAAGTGAGATCCTGAAGTGACAGCACTATTTTATACTATGTACCTATCTTATGAATTCTGTGATTTTATAAGTCTAATTTTAATTTTTTAGGGAATAGATATTTTATTATTGTGTGTACTTGCAGTACTGCCAAAAATTTTGACAATTATGGACTTAAGTTGTTGTATATTGACTGTAAAGATACATTATGATTTATTGAAATTTTTTATGGTAAACAGTGGTATGAAGTCTAACTCAACCAATTTTTAACTTATTAAGTACATTATTGTTTTAATGTAGAGATCAGTACCAATGACATTATTGCATACCTCAATGCACTTATGATGTTCTTCATGCAATGTTCAATGTATTGACTTATGAAATTAAAAAAAAAAAATAGTTGCACTTATGTTTTGGCTTTAGTCTATTATTGATAAGTAAAACTCTTTCAAGTGTTGATTTTTGTATACCATTTTATAGCTTCCAGGCTGAGGCCTATGGTTGATTTTCAGATTTTGTAAGCTTTACACAGCCAATGAGTGATTGTCCTGCTTGACATGCCACGGCTGGCGTGACAATATTTGAGCTTTCGTTTTGTACTGAATACTGAGTCCACACTAATTTTTAAGTTCTTTAAAAAATATATTTGCAAATTTAAAAAAAAAAAGAAAACAACTATATGTAACTCACTAAAACCACTAGTACAATCAATGTACAATAACAGGCTACTGAGCAGTGCTTTCCATTATGAACTTTGAATGTTCTTCGCTTAGGTAATCAACTATGAATTTTTCAAGTTCCAGTCCCTTTTGTTTTTGTTCTTCGGTAAGAATAATTTCAGTTTCATCCTCTGGTGTTACTGCCACAACCCGAGATCTGCGAGTGTCCATTAAGTTTGCAAGGACAATCTGTAACACACAAGAGGTCAACTACAACATTCGATTGTGGAAATCTTTACTTCATTCATGAATTAGCACGCTTACCTTATGTTTATATTTAAGTAGGGCACCCCTGGCCTTTTTTATCAGAATATTCTCATCTGTTTCCAGTTTGAATGAAATAACATATGCATTGGGAACCCATGAGCTCACTAAAGGTTGAAGAATTTTGGGAACCAGATCTAACTGAATTGTGGGAGCACCATCTTGTGATTGCATCTTATGAGTTGGCTGCAATAGAAAACCTGCTGATAACACTAATTCATTTTCGCATGGACGCAAGAGTATATACTAACCATCTGTGTGGCGGGCACATAGAAGTCTGACACGGCCGCAGCCAAATATATCATAGCACGTGCCCCAAAACTTGGAAGGGTTTCACATATGGTCTTCAGCAGCCAAAGGTAATCTGATAAAGTTGTGAACCCTACTTGAAGAAACTTCTGCGATTCTTTGGCTGCATTGTACTTTGTCAAAACTGGCAAAATGTTGTGCACCTCTGATGGTTTCACTGCAAATAATTATAATCTTGTTAAAATTTTTCTTCCACTCATTAATGTAGAAAGATTAAGTTTCTACATGCAGCCAAAATACCTGAGATTGATGTATTATCCGCTGATTTATCAATTTCAAGCATGTCCAAAAATCTTGAGCCCATAACATGTCGGAGATATGGCTCAATAGATTTCAACCTTCAATCAAGGTGAAAATGTGTGACTAATTTTATTGCATGTTGTAGGGAAAATAAATGGCAAGAGTTTGGTACCTGTACAAGAATATAACAGCATATCCGATTTCAAGAAAATATTCAGCTGAGGCCGATCCTCTTGTTCCTGCGCTGAAGTTGTCAACAAATCGTACTGTATGATGTTCCAGGGGAACTGTTGTTCCTCCTGACTGAAATCAATGACACAAATTTCACTGTCTGCGATCTGATGTTATTTTATTGACAAATATATGCTTTAATTGATTAATTAATTACTAATTTAAAAAATGTATGAGTCATCAAGTTATCAACAACATAACCCTAACATAACTCATTATTATTCATTTACAGTTATAAGAACAATGCGTGATCCATTGTTCAAGTGCTTCTGGCAGAAATCTTGAACATAGTGCCTTTTCTGATCGAGATCAGAGGGTGGAGGGTTTTCAGCATAAAATTGTTCCCAACTTAATGGCATTTTTACAGAAAACCAGCAGACAGCTCGCAGACGACGCGACGTGTTGGTTCCTCAGAGTAACGAGCTTCCAATAACGTAAGTTCTCTTATAAAAAGAAAATGAAACACGTTCGAAGTTCGTCTTCGCGTCTTACGTCAACATATTATCATCACTTAAGATAGTGACGAAAGCAAGGCCGATACATGGCACATGACACGCCACTCCTTTTCAAACTGGTTTTCGGCTAGCGCGTTTTTTGTTGGCCTTGAAGTTCAATTGTTTGTTTTGAATGGCAGGAATTGGAACGGAATGGCGTTCAAACTCAAACGAACACAAACAATGACAGTAGCCTGACAAAAGTCGATCTTGTTTCTATTCATCTCTTGCAATTTCTCGCCTCCCTTACCATTGCAAAGCAGCAGGTACAGTGATTGAGGTTTTGCATGATTCTATATTCCGCTTATCGCTACCATTAAAGGTTATGCGTTTGTTTAAGTGTAGTTTGAAAGGCCTCTTCCCCTCACTAATAATTTTGGATAAATATTTCAGACATGGCAGACGGATCAGATAGTTTACGAGCTCGTGAGGCACTTGCTCTGCTGTCTCGCATTTCAAAGCTACTGAATACTGGATTGGACACGGAATCTCTCTCCATCTGCATAAGACTTTGTGAAGCTGGAGTTCATCCCGAGGCTTTAGCAAAAGCTATCCAAGAAGTTCGCCGTGAAGTTAATGCTATTAAAAACCCGACCAACGTTGATGAAGATTCTGTAGCAAGACAACTTCTTTAGTCATTAGTAATCTGTCGTCAATGAGTGGGTGACTGAATGAAGGACAAGAAACTCTGTGTGACCCGGAGAGTTTCCTTTGAGAGATCATCAAAACATGGTGATCAAATATTGTTCCATTAATTTTATTTGCCAATACAAAAGTCCCTGAATATCACATCCAGAATTTGTTCAGTTGTTACATGACCTGTAATCCTTCCGAGATGGTAAGCAGCTTTACGAAGGTCCTCTGCACAAATAGCAAGATCAATTCCATGAGAGTCTTCTTTAAGAGAGTTGATCTCTGAGGCAGATATTTTAACTGTTTTGTGTAAGTAGTCATGTAGGTAATCAACACAATCAGTCAAATGAAGACGATGTCGAACTTGACTTAAAGCAGGGCTCTCTTGACAAGGATTTCCACACCTAACAAAAGACCAGTCATTGTAGTTATGTAAAATTAATGCAAAGTCAATTTAAGCTGTTGAGTAAATAACTCACAAAATTTCCAGCATCTGTTCCATCCTAAATAGCAACTGAGACAATCCTTCTTTAGTAAGACTTGAAAGAGCCACAACATTTTGGTATTGGCTCTGTAAGTTATTTATAGACCTCTTTGCATGTTGCTCTACAACGAGATCAACTTTATTAAAAATTATGATATAGAAGGGCCCGTTCTCAACAGTCCTGAAAATTGATGATAGTCATTTGAGTAAGGTCATGTTGAATTTCTAGGATGTAGTTTAGAATGACAATATTTCATAAGGTGGGTTGAGAGTGTTAAAGACAAGTGAAGAAAGGTTGTGAAATGAAGATAATGACGTCTACTGAACTTTTTCTCCAACAGCAGTTGAGAGAGATGGCAGGTGGTCTTCAGGTCTTCACTTTCACCTGTCTTCAACACTCTGAATCAACCTTTATTTATGATTGATATTGTGAAGGGACCTACTCTGTTGAAGGTTGTTGCAACCGTTTTAAAATTTGCCTGCTTTTATTCACATTAAGTAAACCTAAGTGCATCAAATGCTCCTGGATGTATCTACAGATAAATTCTTCAGTAATTTCTTGACTGTCCAAGCAATTCAAAAACTGCATCGTATCAATAACAAGCAGTATTACATCTGCCACTTTGGCAAACTGTTTAGCACGAGCAATTCCTTCCTTTTCAACAGCATCTACTGCTGAGCAGTCTCCTCTTATCCCAGCAGTATCTGCAAGTAATAAGGGATACCCACCAATATTTATGTACTGTTCTACCACATCTCTAGTGGTGCCTGCAATCGCTGTGACAATGGCAGCAGGTTTATCACCTACAACAAAAGAGAAGAAATAAGAATGTAATTGAGCAACATCTTTCTGCAGTTTGAGGGTTATTTGCATACTACTAACATAGTAAATTGAGTAAACTGCTTTTTCCTACGTTGGGCTCTCCTACAATTGTTGCTTGCACACCATCCCGCAACCTTTGGCCTCTCTGTCCATCTGCCAAATGGCCCTGACAGAGGAAAATCATGTTATTGCCTCTAAATGAATCTTCAAAACATATTTGAATCAAATTTACATCAATAATTCACATGATACATTTAACGTAGCTTTTACAATGTAAACAAACCTGGACTTCTTGGGCCAATTTTGTTATAGAATCTTTTACATCATGCATAATGCCATCCTCTATGTTTTCATCTTCACTGAAGTCAATGTAGGCTTCAACATGAGCTAAACTCTGCAAGTATAGAGTCAGAGAGAAATAAAACAGAATATGTATGCGAGCACAGCAATGAAGAATTATTTGAATCATACCTGGAGAAGAGTATTTCTCCATCCATCATATAATGTGTGAAGTGATCCACTCATTTGGTATATTGCTTGTCTTCGCTGCATTTCTGTTTCAGCATGAATTAAGTCTGCCAATCCCTCCGCCTCTGTGAGGTCTATGGATCCATTAAAGAAAGCCTTCTTTGAAAACTCACCTGTTGGTTTGGAAAATTTGTTAAGGCAATAGTATGACTCTAAAGTTAACTTCAGAATTAAGAGGAGTTTCATATTTTTATTTCTCACCTGGGTCAGCTGGAAAAATACCTGGAATGTTTCCAATTGTTTCCAAAAGCCCGCTTATGACTGCTAGACCGCCGTGGACTTGGAACTCACAAGTATCTTCACCAGTAAAACTTTTCGGTCCTTTGAAATAAATAGAACAGATATTTCAATTTAAAAAAAAACTTACGTTCAGTAAGGCAATAATTGATTCTAGTAGGTTAGAGTAAATAGCAGTCAATGAACCTGGAAACCAAATAACAATGGCTTTGTCTAGTATTTCTTTCGACTGTGGATTGCGAAGTGTTCTGAGTTGAGCCATCCTTGGCTTAAGTAAACTGGTGTCGCCGGCGAGAGCTGAAAGAACAACGCCAGACCGAGGTCCGGAAACCCTTATCACAGCCACGCCACATTTTCCCCTTCCTAGAATAATAAGAAGATAGAGTTTAGTAGACTGAGAAATCGTTGGGGTACAGTGTACCTGTAAAGATGGTTAGTCTTTCGGACATTATTGACTACAGACCAGATGATAAAGCAAAAATAGTTTTTCCTTGGGTGCCCAACCGTCTCGAAAACTGTATCAGGGTTTGAGGGAATGCGTGGAGGGAGTTACACAGTACCCTAAATTGTGCGAGCATGATTGTGAACGGGTGTCTGTTATTGTTTACAAAGCAGAAGACAGGATCTGCCAATAGGTTTCTTTCCCCTTATGAGCACGAATTTCAATGTGAATTTAGATCTGAAATGAGTGTCAATTATTTTTTCCTGTTGACATTGAAAATCCCCCTGTTTACACCTGTCATGTGGATTTACATTTTTTTTTACAAATTACATAATATAGTGTAGCAGACTTGAATATTTATTGTTCTTGACTTCTCATAAAACAATACATTGATAATGGTGAGCGCTTTGGTATCATAAATAGGCTTTCTTCTTCTCCAAGGGGTAATAATAAATACACCCTATTTATTTACATTAATGTAGATCTCAACTGTGAAAACTGCCATCTCTTACACCTTTAAAATTTCTATGTCACCCGTTTTATAACAGATTTGAAGTATTGGTTCTGGTTTATCATTTATCAATCGAATTATGACATCATAGACATTATCAGGAATAATGACAGTCCAGGTTATGTAGAAGTTTGTTAATATAACATTTCAAAGGTTGGACTGTTTTTCAGGCTTGCCTGATCACAGAATTATTTTCAACTGATTATCCTAAACAAAACAAAAGTTTTATGTCTTCAATAATTCTTATGTCTGCTATGACTTGCATTCTGAATGGTTCTTATCATATGATCATCCTTGTCTCAATTTTTGCTTGGTGTTTGCAACAGGTTTGAGTGACAATGGCTCTTCAAAGGACAAACTGGCAAGATCTTGGTGGCTTAGCTACGCTTCTCAGAGACAGTGGTGATCGAGTTCTAAACGGCAACAGTAAACTAAGACTCACCCCAGCACTGTTATCAAAACTCAATGCTGCATTTACTAGCATTTCTCTTCTTGGTTCCAATGGGGACTTTCAGGTGAGTTTTCAATCTGAACTTTGGTCAAGTTTTAAAAGAGCAGATAGAGAGTATTTCTTCTTTGCATATTAATATTTGATTGACAATGTTTTATTTATGACATAGGTAACATCTGCCCATGCCTCTCAAACCCCAACAACAGCACAACTCCATTTTCTACATGACTTTGTGCAAAAGACTGTTGGTCTTACTATTTCTGGCAATGGGAATAGTAAGGGAGACTTGTACTCCGCACAAGCAATTGATCTGAGTCGGTTTCGGTCACTTCGCCACCTGGAGTTGCGAAGTGTCACCCTCTCTCAGAGGAATGACACAGATCAAAGAATTGAAGGACTTTCCTCTCTACGATTTTATTTAGAAGCATTAGTTCTTGTTCAAGTTTTTCAATCAGATGACCTGCTGTGGGAGGTCCTGGCAGATGGAGCTGTTTCTATTGGCCCAGGTTAGCACCAAAAATATACGATGAGAAGATGGGCCATTAATTGGTGCATTTTGTAATGTTATATTTATGATTTCCAGATGTTATTTGGGCGAAGCTTTCCCAGCTTGTTGTCAGTTACTGTGGACTCAGATCTCTTGGCCGTGGCATATCTTTGGCATGCAATTTGCAGTGGGTGGATGTTAGCCACAATATGATTGCCGATGCTAATGCTGTCAGCTCAAGTTTGGCTGCTCTCCCTAAGTTGTGCTATTTAAATCTCAGCTATAACCGTTTAACCAAAATTCCTGTTCCATCATTTGCCCCCTCCTGTCCAATGCCCAGCAAAATCCAGATACTACTCTTGTCACATAATTATATTGAAGACTTAAGTGGTATGTTCCATGCAAGATTAGATTCTGTCGTAACAAATATGATTTCTCCTCGCCATTATACATTTTTTATATGAACAGGACTGGAAAATTTGACTTCCGTGCGAGAATTGAATCTAGAAGTTAATCAGCTGCAGGATCATTCTAGTTTACTGCCTCTTCGTTCTTTGTACCAGTTGCAGCACATTAAGCTGAAAGGCAATCCAATTAGTTATCACAAGCGCTATCGAATTATTGCAACATCTTATCTTTCTCCAAGAGCAGTCTTTGTGAAGGTAAGAGAAAGTTCAGTGGCGATGTCCCATCTAATCTAATTACCTTGTTCTGTCATTCAAAGCTAATTAATTTTTTGTTTGACATTCTTAGCATCAGTACCGCCGTGATACTGTTAAGTTAATCCCAGTGAGTATCAAGGCACAAGGCATTAATGTTTGAAATTATGATCAGTTTTTCAAGGTAACACTATTAACGCTTGCTAATTTTCAATTTTTGTCATTTTAGTTTATGCTCGATGGTCAAAAGTTGACTGAAACTGAGTTACAAGCTGTTAGAGATGGTCCATCTATTTCTAGCACCAACAAGAGTGAATCTAGCTCAAGTGATTTGTCCATCAGCTTCAGTAAGTTGTTAAGTTTCTATCTAAAACTGTATTTTAAATAATAATGTTTACATTATTTAAATTGGGAATCTTAAATTTTGAAGGCAAACCTCCTGAGACTTCAAAAGCTCCTGGATCAGAGATGGAGAGATCAACTCGAAAGAGCCGTAAAGTTAGAGAAGTTATCATTGAAGATTTTGACACGCTTGATGAATTGACTAACATGAATTTAGGAAACAATCCAAATACAGGATCAATTGGTAAATGTTGCATTAGCAGTATTTTGAATAGAATGGTTACTGAAATTGAGTTCTTAGACTAATGTGCGTTTTCTTGTATTGTAGAATCATCTGGAGAGCATTTACAGACGAAAAGAGAGTTAGAAAATTATAAAGCAAAATTACAGGATAATTATTTGATAGGGTCTACTGTGCCAGAGCTTTTAGGGTTTCAACGATCAACTCCCTCTGTGTCAGCTGGTGGTTTAATGGGAACAAGTGTTGCCAGTATCAGTAGTTTTACAAGACCACCCTCAAGTTCCACTCCTCTCCCATCACCTGGCTTGCTTCCATCATCAACAGGCATGGCAGTACCATATCTAGGCCATCTAGATGAACAGGTAATTTTTTTCACATGGAATCATCAAAGAAACAATTTTTTAAAATGATTTTTTTCACTTTTACTCGCTATTTATCTTTGCTACAGCAACTTTTGGAAACTATTATCTCAAAAACATATCCTGAAGTGAAAGACAACATTGAAGCTTCTCAAACAACTCTATCTACCCAGTACCACACAGCAAATGACTCTGACACTGTGCTGCATATTTCAACTGGAAATGAAGAAACAGCATCTAAGGATAATTTACCCTCTCCTGGATCAGTTGTGGGATATGATGGAGATATAGATGATGAAGATAATACAAATAATGAATATTGTGATGAAGATCTTGATAGTAAGTTAGCTCATAAAAACCACTATGCACAATTCTTAAGGCTATTTTGTTATGCAATTTGTCTTATTTCCTTTACCAGCTGGGGATCATTCCAAGTATTTCGTAAGAAAACTAACCCAGGGATACAAGTTACCGCAAGACATCGCTTTAGTGGCCACTTCAAGGTACATTATTAAAAAATCATAAATTGAGTCATTATTTTTATCAAAACCTTTTATTTCATCTAATCCAACTTTTCTTACCTAAGATGCTTGTTTTTTGTTTTTTTTTGTGTGTGTATTTTCTACCAGGTTTATTAAAGAAATTGACCCTTCTTCTGGACGTGTTGTTCAGTCTTGGCGGCTCAACTGCCTAGAAAGCTGTGAACTATTGAGTGCCTCTCCGTGCCAAGTGCAATTGACTTTTAACACTGTGGTCCCTTCCAAAAAGAAACGTGTTTATGAAATGGATCCAGATGAGGCTCAAGTAATTCTCGTAGGCCTGTTACATTTACTAGTATAAAAATTTGGTTCCCTTCCTCTGACATTTTGTTTAAATTCCAGAAACAACTTTTACCATCTTTAAAAACTATTTTAGAGTCAAGATCTCTTAGTGCCTTAAATGTGGCTGCATTCCGATGCATGAAGTGCTCAGGAGAGTTTTCTATTGAGCTGAATTCACGCAAAAGTACTTTTTATTATCCACCTAGATTTGTACACCTTACGTAGTTTTATTGTAAACAATGACAGCATTTTAATGATTATGTTTTTGATGTTTTGCCATACTTTTCTTGTAGCTTCCAAAATATGTCCAACGTGTGGATCAACTTTAGTTTTTGAACTGGATGAAGCTCCCCTCCCCTCCCTTGGTTCTCCATCATTTGTTTCACCAAGATCTGAAGAAACTTTAATTGCAGAGTCTTCTACCTTACCCCCATGTTCTGAACTCCTACACTCTCCTTCTGACTCAAGTATTGGTAAGTTAAGTTATATGCTACTCAACCTGCACTGCGTTAGCTCACTTAGGCTAGGTATTCAGCTGTAAACTGCACTAACTAATACTGAGTTGAGGCTAGTATGTATAATCTATCTCTCCATCTATCTGTATAGTATTTGCCTAGGAATATGGTTATAATTTCAATTTTTGTCAATACTCTATTAATGCTGTATTAACATTTACACTTGGTGCATGAGGATTTGTGCATGTTTTAGCAAATGTGGGTGTGAATGCACGAGCTGCAAGACTTCAGGTGTTTGCCGATGTCCATCTTCCCCCTTCCTCCATAGCACCTAGTAAGATTTCATAGTAAAATACTTT